AATGAAGTAAAAAACAGGTGGACTTCATGCCCAATTCAATCAGCTAATCAGTGGCTGAATAAATAGCAGTACTCCTACATTAAAAAAAAAGGCGATTGTCTTGCACACAGCTGACCCCCAGTTAAATCCCCAACACCACAGGACAGTCCTCCAGCACAAGGAGTAACCCCTGAGCAGTCAGGTGTCAGGAGTAAACTCTGGGCATTGCTGAATATGGCCCCTCATCCCACCTCTCCGACCCCCAAGAGGGAAAGGAGCCTAGTATGTCTTGTTAGTGGGCAGGAGCAACCTACTCAGAAGTCCCTGAGCAGGATTTTTTCTATCAGAAGGATGAGCACAGAGGACCTTGGAAATGTCAGGACATGTGCTGGGCACAAAGTTCCCATTATCTATCAAGCAATATCTTAAGATGCCCATCTCACTCTAAAGAATCCCTTAGGATTTCAAATTCAGACACTGTGGAAGCCAGAGGCAGTAATAAGAACAAGCTCTGATGTGGCACTGATTCACTTCCCTAAGGATTTGGCATGTGAACTTCTTCAAGCCTTGCTGTTGCTTATGCAGAAGGTTCTGTCACCCCCCTCTGAAGTGCAGAGATCATTCCACTGCTAAGTGGCAGAGCAAGAATTTGAACGTGGGCTGTGAGGCTCATTCTGAGCTCAAGGAACTTAGTCCAGCAGTGATGAGGACGAAGACATCCAAGTAACATTCTGCTAAAGTAGAACGTGATCAACACTGCGATGGGAACTGAATGGGGACACATTTCTTCTGCAGGGGCAGATGAACTTCACCAGAGGCATTAGGGAAGCATTCAAATCATGGCTGAGAGGTTAGTGCTGTGGTCCCCGAGCTCTGCTATGGGGAGATCTGCAGGTGGATAGGAGTGTTTTGCCACTAAAGTGGAATACAGCACTTGAATACAACCTTATCCAATTGGTGGGGAAACCAAATAACTGAAGGTGCTTTTTCCATTTCAAGTTTTTCTATTACAAACTTTCCTGAAGCTACGGTGTCTGAGAACATGTATTTATAAATGATAAGGAAAAGAAAACAGTAAGCCACAAATACTAATGGAAGTCACGGTTTTACTGGATTGCCAATTTACATTTATATAGATAAAACAGCATTTCTGCTATGAATTTTCTTTTGGGGGATAGAATGGGTGATGTTGGAGGACCACATGGGACACTAGGAATTTGAACTTGTGACCATATGTGTCAACATAGGTACTCTATACTACTCTCCTGGTGTAAGTGTAGAATAAACAGATCCAAATCAAATGCAGTTCTCATACGTAGTCAGACTCCAGGTGCCTGTCCCTGACTTGGTTAAGAATCTCCAGTCAGGGCTAGGATGTGGTTCAGTGATGGAGCACTTGCCTTGCATGCATGAGGCCCTAGGTTCAACCCTCAGTGCCTGCAGATAGAGGTCTTCTAGAGACTTAAGGGCAGGCATATGGGTACAATGAATAGGCAGCTGGAGTCCTGCTAGAGACTTGCCTTATTAGCTTCCTCACACATGGAACAAGTTAGTTGACTTCTGTACTAAGCTCAAAACGCCCCCAGTCTAGACCATTGAGCCCAGGAAGAGCGCAGAGACTGAACACCAGGATTGCTTCTGCTTCTACAGCTTTAGAAGGAGGCTGCTCAGTATGAGTAACCAGTGCTCTTGGGGAATTAATCCATGTAGGGGAATTAATCCACGTAGGGCACATGCCTTTGGGGCAACCAATGTGTCTGATACAGTGCTTAACCCACAGAGCCTTTGTTTGATAATAGAGAATCAGCGGTTAATGGCCCTCACTTTGTAGCACTTTCCTTCCTTTGTTTATCGATTTGCCCAAGTGGGCACCAGTAACGTCTCCATTGTGACACTTGTTACTGTTTTTGGCATATTGAATACACCATGGGGAGCTTGCCAGGCTCTGCCATGCAGGAGGGATACTCTCGGTAGCTTGCCGGGCTCTCCGAGAGGAATGGAGGAATCGAATCCAGGTCGGCCATGTGCAAGGTAAATGCCCTATCTGCTGTGCTATCACTCCAGCCTGGTCCTACACAACAAATAATCCCCCTCACCTTACAAACAGCAAGGGATCACCTGAAATTCCAGCTCTTTCCTTCTGCTTGCAGATCCAGGACCTCTCACACTTGAAACTCCACCATTCAAACCAACCACCAGGCAACTAGTTAATAAAAAAGTTCTATCTGGGACTTTTAACCTCTACAAAAGGCGATTATCAGGACACATTGAATTAGAAATTTAAACACATGGAAACAACCCTAATTTTCCTAAAAAAGAAAAAGCGGAAAACTCAGAACCAAGTAGATTGGTGCTCTTAATTCTTTAGAAATGGGAAAGGTGAAAAATGGAGTTGGAAAGTCTGCCCTCCAGTGGGGAAACAAGGAAGTCATTCAAGTTTCAGAAAATACATGTCCTGAACCACAGCTAAATATGTTAACTGGAAATACACCTCAGTGAACTTTCTTGTCGAGGAAAGACTTAGCTAGAACAAGGAGTAAGATAACAGCGTCTTGACAAAGGAAGTAATAAAAATAAACCTAGAGTTGAAGGAGGACTTTAGGATCTTGTTCTTTTATTCAAATGTTGTACCTGGAAAAAAGCCTGTTTCCCTATTAGCTTAGGGTCATGTAAAATAAGGGTGAGACTACAGACTTTTTCACAGGGTGAGTCAAATAAATGACATCTGAGTGATGATAGTCCATAGTGATTCAATTATGAATTTTATAGATATGACCCTAATGACCCTTTGTGGTAAGCTCTATATGTCACAGTTGAGACAGACCAGAGTGGTGATTCAGTAAACTTACAATCTAAATAAATGTGGGGCCTAAATAAGTGAGCTACTCCTAGTACCTATGGCTGCCTCGAAGGATCTGAAAAAGTAATCTTACAGAGTGCACAAACTACACAATCGTTTGGGAGTAACTATTAGACCAATGGTGGCCATGCCTATTTAAACAGCAATTAAATTTCAATTCCTATGGGTTGGATAATACAATGAGTATGAAGCTTGCTTTGCATGTGTCTGATCTGAATTCAATCTCCAACACCCCATATGGTCTCTGGAGCCTCACAAGGAGTGATCCCTGAGCAGAGCCAGAAGTCAGTCCTGACGACAGCTGGAGGTGGCCCCCAAATAAAAAAATTAAATAAATTTCAGTCCCTCAGGTACACTTTTCATGATTCAAGTGTTTAATAACCGAGTGACTACTTGAGAAAACTAGAAAGAGCAAATAAAACCTGGAGTAAACAGGAGAAAAATAATAAAATTAGAGCAGAGGTGTGTGGGGATGGCTCAGAGGCAGAACACCAGTCTTGCAAGGGTGAGGCAGGCTATCAGGTCTAACAACAGCATCACTCCACAAGCCAAGAGTAACCCTAGCAGCACTGCCGCTTTTGATTCTGGCACTACAGCAAAATGTGTTATCTCCCTCATCCCACAAATATGTCTACAACCAAGGGATTGTGTAGGGGGGGAGAAGATGGGGAGGAAGGTGATGGGAGGAGGAAGCAAGCAAGCACCACAACAAATTGTGCAATGCCTGGCCAGCACTGCAACTACAATGTGTAGGAGCACTGTGTGGCTGGCTCCTGGGGAGCACCACAACCTCAAGCAAAACAGTGTGCAACTCCTGAGGAGCACAGCCAAATATGCAGGCATTGCAACCAAAGGGCAACACCTGGCAAGCATCAAAAACAAGTGTGTGTGATCCCTAGAGGAGAAAGGTAAGGAGGGGGAAAAAAGAACAATAAAGAGAAGGGTAAAAGGGAGATAAAATGTCAGAGCAGGGGCTGGAGGGATAGCACAGCGGGTAGGGCATTTGCCTTGCACGCAGCCAACATGGCCGAACCTGGTTCGATTCCCAGCATCCCATACGGTAATTCCTGAGTGCATGAGCCAGGAGTAACCCCTGAGCATCGCTGGGTGTGACCCAAAAAGAAAAAAAAAAGTCAGAGCAGAAATCAAAGTCACTGAAAAAGGAAATCAGACTGGGGAGATAGCTCAAAGGGCTAAAGCACATGGTTTCCATGTGGGAGCCTTGTGTTCAATCCTAAAGAACACACCATTTCCTGAATACCACTAGGAATAAGTTTTGACCACTGGGTGTGACCAAGCCCCAGCTCCATGGGGGCTTGGGGCTGGGGCTGGGGGAAAGTAAAATCAGTGAAACCAAAAGGTACGTCTTTGAAATGATCAATAAAGTAGATAAAACTCTAGCCAGACCAAGACTCTAATTACTAATATTAGAAATAAAAGAGGGGCATCACAGCTTGGGCATTAACAATCCTCTACCCACAAATCTGATAATTTAGAAGAAATGGACCAGTTCCTAAAGATACAGATAGCAGAAGGACACCTATATTTCAGTTAGGGTCCATGTCAGTGACCCACAATAAACATCCAATCTCAAGGTCTTTAGTCATACCTACAAGGGCAACATATTCACAAATTTCAGGGGTTAAAATATGGACATATTTGGAGGACCTATCACACGATTTAGTCTTCCACATCTCTTACGTCAAGAAAGCTGGCTGAAATTATTAGTGTTTACAGTCAAAGTAGAACGTGTAGGGAGAACAGGCATCATCTCAATATGCTGGCCAATATTCTGAAAGATTTCAGTCGTTCCAGTGTTATTATTCTTTATCCAGTCTTCCATACCCTGAAACTCACTGCAATCATTTCAACTGAATCTATCTCCTAATCTAAAAAACCAACGGAATACTTTTTGGAGGACTGCCTCTGAAAGCACAATATCCACATTAATTTTCATGTATATTGTATTTTGCTGAAACAGATGAATTACATAATTGGTATCTGGTGACAAAGAGTAACAAGTTAACTAACTGCTAAAATAAAACCAAGCTACATTTTTAAACTTGAAAATATTAAGATGATTAAGACTATACCCTCTCATTGAATAAAATGTTTAGCAAAAACACTTCGTGTGAAGTGTAAATGAAGTACCAATAAGCACCTGTGTACAAAATAATTTATTCAGCATTATATATGGTGGCATTATTTTACAGTGAGGTTGTTTTATTTGAATAATTAAGAATCTAAATAGATTAGAGTAAAAGAAAACCATTTTAATTATAACTTTTTATCCAAATAGTATCTCCCTTTGTAGAATTCCTTTTTCCTGAAAGGGAAGTATTAACATTACAGACATATTTACATTTCAGAAACAAACATCAGATTATTCTATTACTGCCATTTGTATAAGACAGAACAAAAAATTCTCTCAGATATTATCCTCCCAGAAAACATATTACTAAACAATACTGTTTTAATGGTTAAACTAATGATGGTGTACATTCTCATTCTGCTGCTATAAAAATGCTTTTAATAGTCAATGTATGGCTATAAGACTATTTTATTATCATTTGTATTCTGCCCTCTTTCTCTCCCTAGAAGCGCACCACTCAGATAGAAACTACTTGTTAACATGCAAAGCAACATAATCAAGAAAGCAAAGTTCTTGCCTTTGGGTCTTAAATATGCAATAAATCCACTAGTGAATTTCAATGATTAAGAGGTAAACCAACCCCTACATTCAAATAATCTATGTATACCTGGAATAATTTCTTTAACTAGAAAGTATCACTTTTTTTGTGTATATTAGGAAAGAAATAATAATCATGAAAGAAATTAAGGTGAAAAGGGCAAATTAAATTTTAAAATAAACATCAATATTTGCCAGGAAGGATTTCATATAGCCTTTAACAGTTAAGACAGATATGCTTTAATTATAAAGTAAGCAAATAAAATCAGTAATAAACCAATAAGGGATCAAAATACACAACTTAGGTTAACAAAAAAATTTCGCATTTATGATATAAAAGTGACAGCACCTATCACAATGCTAATAATTTCAGAGTTTAAGAAACTGTACAAGTACAAACAGGTAATTTTAACATGTTTATGTAAATTGGCAGTCAGATAAAGAATAAAATAACCTTATGGAATACTCCATTTAAAAAATTCTACCCAATTATTTCATTCCATATCTATATTACATTATATCCTGGAAAAGAAATCCTTTATCTGAATTCAGCTTTGAATTCTAAGAGTCAACTTTTGATAAGATTCATATTTCATTTGCCAAAACATCACAGTTAGCAGTGTGGTTCAGTGCCACGTTATGGCCATCAACTTCATTCACAGCGGGCAGGAAAACAGATGTAAAAGGAAGCAAGTTATGACAGGCCATCCTATATTCCTCATACTGGGAATGACAGTTCCCAAAGCTGCCATCAAGGAGTGCCTCAGAAACCTTTATTAAAGTCTATTGAAACAAACAAACAAACAATTGTTATTTTTTTTAAAAAGCTTGTAATCAGGTAAGTCAATCTAATCTAATCTTACAAAGTCTAATCTTACAAAGTCTAATCTTACAAAGATCTAACATGGCTTTAAAGAAGTAATCTAAGAAAATCATTTCTTGCAAGTAACTGCCATCAAAAAGAAACTTCTGGGGGCCAGAAAGATAGTACAGGCATATGTCTTGCCTGCGTTTATGTTGGCACCATATATGGACTCCCAAGCATGGCAAGTGATCACTCCTGAACAAAGTGGAAATAAACCTGAGCATTACTGGGTGTGACCCAAATCCCCAGCTCTACCCCACAAAAAGTTTTTCGGGGTAGAAGTACTGGGGGTAAAGGCAGTGCCTTGCATACAGACAACCCATGGTCAATCCCTAGCACCAGATATGGTTCCCTCAGCACCAGCAGAGGTAGTAACCTCTAAGCCCAGAGTCAGGATACCCTGAGCACTGCTGCCAGTTACATATATATATATATATATACACACACACACATATATAAATTTTATATAATATGCATTTAACATGTATATAAAAATTCATTTTTAATGGAAGTTTACTGAAATAACATCGGTTTATAATTCTATAGGTTTTAGTGCACAGTTTCTTGATTTGATATATATTCTACATTATGATTACCAGCAAAAACCTAGTATCTAGCTATCACCATATAGTTTATATATTTCATATCCCTCTTCCTCATCTGGTAATCACCAATCCGTTATCTCTGTATCTGAGAAATACGTGTGTTTTATCTTATTTTATTTTACCTTTAGAAAAAATAGCCGAGCAGCATTTCACTGTGTAAATATTATATACAACTTTATCAACTCATCCAGCAATAGACACTTAGGTACCTTGGCCACTGTGAATTAATACTGCAGTAAAGTTGAGGTACATATCTTTTTCAATTATCTTTCTTACATTTCTGAGTATCTACTCAGAAGTGAGACAGACATATCATAAGCAGTAAAATTCTAACACTTGAAAGGAGAATCTCTAAAACTGTGATAATTTAAATAAAGGTGTCCTTCATTAATAGTTCCCACTTTCTCAGAGCTTACTCTGCCTGTCAGGTACTAAGAACACTTCAGTTTATTATTTCAGTAAACTCCAGTTACGACGTCAAGTCTATGGGACAGATAGTATTTTACATCTCCATCCTATAACTTAGGAAAAGCAAGCAAAGAGAGATAACCAGTCTAATGTGACACAGCTCATTACTGATGGAGAGTCAAATTCAGGCATAACTGAATGCCCAACCTAAAATTATATTGTAAATATATATTTTGTAGACTTCATATCCATAAATTTGTAGAAATCAGTCTGTAAAAAATCTTACCTTTACTACAAAGCCAGAGGCACAGAATCTTTAATGGAATCTATTGGGGCCATCACAAGTGGCTAAGAGCAGATATGCTTTTCTGTCCTGGCTACTGGTTCTCAATCATGGCTACATATTGGAATCAACTAGGAAGGTTTAAAAAAATTGATACCTAAGTCCAAATCCCAGAGATTCTGACATAATTAATCTGGGGTGCATTATGGACAATTGGATTTTTATAAGCTTTCCAAGTAATCCTGCTGTGTAACCCAGACTGAGAATTTCTGGTCCAATCTGACATAAAGATAATTTTATTTTATTTTCCCATTTAAAAATGCAATGGCAGGGAATAAATATAAGAATTAATGAAAATTCTGAAGTTTTCAATGTATAATAAAGCAAAATTTATAATCATCAATTATTAAAATTATATTCAAAAAATTTTTAAAAATCTTACCTTTACATTTTTATCTTTTATAGTTTCATCCAGTCTAGTGGCAATAGCAATTGCTTTCTCTTGCCTTGACTTGTCCAGAAAATACATCATTTTAGCACCTGAAAAACCATGACATTCAATTTGAGATAAACAAACTCCTTTGTCCTACAATTGATTTGATTTTTTGACCAGGAGCCATAACAATAGTACAGCAGGGTGCTTGCATTGCATGCAGCTGACCTGGGTTTTGATCCCTGGCACCCGACATGGTCTCCCAAGACCCTGAGCACCAGGGTATGTCCCCACACTCCCACTCGGAAAAATAATAATAATTAAAAAACATACATTTAGGGGCTGGAGTTATAGCACAGCGGGCAGGGCGTTTGCCTTGCACGCGGCCGACCCGGGTTCGATTCCCAGCATCCCATACAGTCCCCTGAGCACCGCCAGGAGCAATTCCTGAGTGCATGTGCCAGGAGTAACACCTGTACATCGCCGGGTGTGACCCCCCCAAAACAAAACAGAAACAAAAAATATTTAGAATTAACATTTAGAAATAAGGGCTTTTTTGGTATCAACCGATGGTCAGTACACATTTACCAAAAGACCAATGATTCAACAATTGCAATACTCCTTAAAAATGACAGGATTCAACATCTAAACATAAAGTACTCTGTGCCAATCAGTATTTCATCACAAGTTTTATATACATATTTGGGGCTGGGAATGTTCTGGGTCACACCTGCAGTGCTCAGGGGACCTAGTTCAAAGCTACTTGTTTGTGTATGTATAAGAGAGTATGTTTGTGTGTATGTGTGTGTGCAAGAGAGAGAGAATGAGAGGGGGGAAGAGAGAGGGAGAGAGAAAGAGAGAGAGAAGAGTGTGAGTAGATGTGTTGGAACCATACCCAGCAATGCTCAGTGTTCACTCTTGGTTCTCAGGAGTCCACATGGTGGCAGAGATCAAAACTGGGGTTGGCATATGCAAGGCAAGTGTTTAAACCTCTGTACTATCTCTTCTCTAATATCTCATAATAATTTCTCAATAAAATCCAGTTACATTTATCCAGAAAATCACTTATCTTCTATAATCATTTTCTATTGGGCTTTTTTTAACTTACAGTTTGTTGATTTATAGCAGCTCTATTAAATTTTTTATCAGTTACATACCTAAGTATTTTCCCAAATGCTATGATTTTACTCATGACGTTTTAAAAATGTATTCATTTACTTTTTTTTTTGGCGGGGGGAACCTGGCAATACACAGGGGTTACTCCTGGCTCTGTACTCAGGAATCACTCCTAGAGGTGCTCATGAAGTATATGGAATGCCGGGTATCAACCCTAGGTCAGCTCAGATGCCAGGCAATTACCTTACCCGCTCTATTATCTCTCCAGCTGCTCATTTACTTATTTCAACGGTTGGTTTTGAGGCCATATTCAGGGATAATTCCTGGGTTGGTGCTCAGGCAGTGCACAGGGAACCATGTGATGTTAGGCATCAATTAAGTGGTGAAAAATCTTTTATATTTTAATACAATGTTGAAAAAGTCATTTCCCACCAACACAATAAAGAAATGCTTCCCTCCACTATTCTGTGTTCATAAAGAGATATTCTTATCTGCTGCAAGAAGTTTTCCAACAGCTTTTCACAGGAATTTTTTCCCATAGATATCAGAACTGAGAACGAGAGTACTGAAAGCCTATTTCCTTCACAATAAAAAAGCTTACATTAAAACACTTACATATATGTCTTAAAGTAAAAGCATATAAACAACAGATTAGCAGGTAGGGTATGTGGTTAACCTGGATTTGATCCCCAGCATTTGGCCCCCTGAGCACCTCCAGGGAATGTGTATATTCCTGAGCGCAGCACCAGGAGTAATTCCTGGAGCACCACTGGGTGTGGTCCAAACCCCGCCCCCCAAAAAGAACAGAAACAGTTTTAAGTATTTGTATTTCATTTTACCCCAATATCTTTTACATAATCTTCTATCTTACTGGCATTTATCTTGATATTTTAAGAACCCATATAAACTGCCTAAAATCCTTCCTGTATTGATGCAGAATATAAATAAATCCTAAAGATACAAATAAATAAAAACCAAAAAAAGTATGAAATCACTCATATCCACAACTCCCAAAGGCAAATTAGAGCTTTGTTATCTATCACTTCCTGTAAGTTTTTGTTACATATATTGTACATAGTTGATATTACATTGCAGGTAAATTCAACTATGCAGGTAGCATAGTTGATATTACATTTGCAGGTAAGGAAATTTGTGATTTTAATCACAAATTTAAAAACAAATTTTTTTAAAAAATTTTTATTAGTGAAACATCATGAGGTACAGTTGTAGATTTACAAATTTTTGTGCTTGGGTTTCGATTATACAATGATCAAATACCCATCCCTCCACCAGTGCCCATTTTTCACCAACATGGATAATATCCCTCCCACCCCCATCCCCCATCCCACCCTGCCTCTGTGGCAGGGCATTCCCTTTTGTTCTCTCTCTCCTTTTGGGTGTTGTGGTCTGCAAAAGAGGCATTGAGTGGCAAACATGTTCAGTCCATAGTCTACTTTCAACATGCATCTCCCCTCCTGGGAGGATCCTCCAAACACACTTTATTTGGTGCTCCCTTCTCTATCTGAGCTGCTCTTTCCCCTGGAATACCCGGCTGGCCTCTAAGCTATGGAGTAATCCTCCTGGTGCTGATCTCAGCTATTCTTGGGTATTAATCTCATATTTTGTTACTTTATATCCCCCAGATGAATGCAATCTTTCTATGTCTATCCCTCTCTTTCTGACTCATTTCTCTTAACATGATACTTTCCATGTTGTACCACTTGTATGTAAATTTCATGACTTCATCTTTTCTAACAGCTACATAGAACTCCATTGTGTAGATGTACCAAAGTTTCTTTAACCAGTCATCTGTTCTTGGGCACTCAGGTAAAAAAAAAAAATTTTATATAACTACTTGACATTCCATCCTATAAATCCACCACTGTTTCTATTTTTGGATATACATAACATTTTTCCCTCTTCAGCATTTCAGTTTTCAAATAAAGTTTTCTCTGCTATGGACTGAATCTTGAAACTTATTTACAAACATGTCACTACATCTAAAGACAATTCTTTGTAGGTTGACATATTGCTTTCTTGAAGGCAAGAGTTAGTTTACACTTTCAGGGTCTGGAGTGATAGCACAGCGGGTAGGGCATTTGCCTTGCAGGTGGCCGACCCAGGTTCAAGTTCCAGTATCCCATATGGTCACCCAGCACTACCAGGGATAATTCCTGAGAGCAGAGCCAGGAGTAACCCCTGAGGATCGCAAGGTGTGACCCAAAAATTTAAAAAAAAAAAAAGTTAGTTTACACTTTCAACAGCAAAATACGTGAGCATTTGTTTGCCATTTCTTTACTTTAGTCTTCTACAAAGTTTTAACATAGAAAACTGCTGTTTGAAAGGTCAAAAAATGGTCTAAGTCAAACCTCTTTCCAAATATTTATAAACCATTTTTCTTTTTTCCATGAACATTTTAATCCTAGAACTAAATACCAACCTGAAAGTAAATGTTGAAGAGAGGTAGCATTATGTTTGAGAAAATCCTCATTGAAATTTTCCAAATTCTTGTTAACAAATATTTTTTGCATTTCTTGAGATAGAACTTTGCTCACAATGTCTGGAAGATTACTATGATCAGACACTAAAAATAAAACATTTGGATTAAAAAAACCTTTTAGTTTGTTCTTAAAAATAATTGCAATATAGTTACACTTACTCTTCAATTTGATGTACTTGCAGAATAGAAATGTTAATATTCCTTTGAATTTAAGTGCACCCAAAAAAAGTACTGATTTCTAACATTTATTAGCAGGTTTAATTTACAGAGATGCCTTTATTTAAATATTACAAACATTACTATGATCTTCATGCTACAAATCTCAATTCAAGATAGCTGAATTCTCATATTGCTTCTAATAAACATTACTTTTTTTTATACTTACCAGATTTAGAAAATTTAATTAAACATTCATGCAACCATGGGTTATTGCTGTTGATGGCAAAAGCTCGTTTCACAGACTGTAACATTAATAGAAATTTTCCTGTGTCAGAAGAAAGAACAGCATTAATATTTATGCATTTATTTTCCAGCTAATTTTAGCACCATCTAAAATTCAAAAATAAAACTTCAATTTCTTTTACTATTCATAAGAAAACTTCAAAACTAAATCAAAAGCAACACTGTTTCATAAGAAATTGCTTCAGATAAACAATTTTATAATGTTCAAACTATTCTTAAAATGAATTTCTCATTATAGTATTTCATTCACCACCTAGTAAATTTTAAGTATCAGAGAACAATAAGATTAAGTGCAAGGTTGAAATGAAACTCCAAGAAACAAAACAGATATAACTAATAGATTACACTGAATATAATCACCAATACAATTAAAGGATTAAAAACTGAATTTAAATTATTACCTTTCCTAAAATAAATTTCAAAAGCTAACAGATGAGTATCAATGTTATCAGCAACAAGAGTCTTAAGAGGTATTAGGAACTTGATAGCCTCCTCTAATGGATTCTCCATCTATTTTGAAATAAAAAACAAAATCATTTTTAAAAATGGCAAGACAAATTCCCTCTAAAATTTCATATTAATACACATCTAAAATCTAGAGGTCTTTCATAAAAAAAGTAGAAAACATTTAAACTTTATCTATAAACAGCCAAATTCTAAAACAGTCTTACTGTTTTCTGACTGGAATCCGTATGTTTACAAAATATTATTCCACAGACTTATGGAAATGTTACCATGTAATGTCTTGTCAGTACTTAATACTACATATATCTAAAGGAAACAAATATACTTGTACCACATAAGTAAAAAAAGATTAAAGCAAAATCAATGTTTATACTAGATTCACAGTGAATAAAACCAGAACACTTAGAAGTTCCCTAAATAATTAACACTTTGAGAAAATTCTGAAGATGAGACACTTTCTTTAAAGTTAAAAGATAACAAGATATATAGAACACTTTTTAATATAGACAATCTCTGCTGTAAGAATTAAAAAACAGATGTGAAAATAAAATATATTTTGTTTTGAAATTCTGTGTAAAGAATTACCAAAAGCTTCAGTGTCTAAAGTAATTACAAATTTATTATCTTGCAGTTCTTTCAAAGTCCAACAAGGGTCTCACCATGCTTAAAATGAAGGTGTCAGCAGGACTGCATTCCTTTATGATGGCTCTAATGAAAAATGTTTCAATACCCCTTTCAGCTTCTCAAGGCTGCCCACATTCTTTAGTTTATGATTTCTCTCTCCATCTTCAAAGCCAGCAACAGAGTTTGAGTTCTTCTCACAAATTCCAACCTTCTTCCCACCCGCCCCTCCACTTTTAAGCCCTTCTATGATTTAATTGTGCACCTAAATCATGTTTATCTATTCTTTGGTCAGCTAATCACCTTAAATTACATCTGCTATCTGAATCATGTAATATACTATATTCAGATTCTCGGGATTTAACATACAATTCTGTGACTAGATTAGCTCAAATTGTGCACACTGTCACTCAAAAATAACTGATGACTATTATAATGACCCTGAGATAGAGCAAATGGATTCTAATATATAGGTTTAAGTAATGTTTATGATCAAAAAATAACTAATTTTACCAAATAGAGAGTAAACTTCTCTCACCCTTTCTAACTTTTCAGGTATAAGTTCTTCTTTGTGGCCACTGGCTTCTTCTTCGTCGTCATCTCTCTTTTTCTTTTGACTTTTATGTTGACGCTCTCTTTCTGCATGCTTCCTTTCTTCTTCTAATTTTGCCTTTTTCTGGGCTCTTCTCTGCTTACTAAGCATTTTCTTCAGCTCTTTAGCTGACAGGTTTTCTATAATATCCAAAAGATGAATTCTAAGCCAGTTTCCATTTTCCTCATATTCTTCGGCAATACATACTATTAGTACAGCTTTGCAGGGTAAGTGGCAAGAAGAGGCAACTACATAAAAGTTTATGGAAAGTGTATTCCTAATGATCACCACAAAACCTGGCACAGAAAAGTCAACTAGAAGATAATGCATTGACACAAATCAACCAATCCTAGCCAATTTCTGCTTTGTACAAAACATTAGGCAAATTATTTTATCCCTCAATCACGATGCTGACTAGTATAAAACGGGGCTGCTAACACCAATAATCTTCTTGGAATACTTCATTGCAATATATAAACCTTAGAATATTTTAATGCAATTCATAAATACAATTGATATCTTTATTTTATAAACACAAGAAATAAAACATCAGAACTGTGTTTTTCTCATACCCTAGACGTTAACATTTTGCGACTAAAGGGAGCAATAATATGATCTCTGATATTATCTTCAATGATGTAGGGATTAGAACTTATGAAAACATGTACTTCCCTAAAGAACTTAATAGAAATATTCAAAAACAGTTAAAAAGCCCTAACACACTCATTTCTGTTGTTCATGAATTGGCTTTGCCAAAGATAAAAATAAAAGATTGGAGGGTTGGAGTGTGTGTGTGGGCAGGGCAGGCAAGCCCAGGTTCATTCCTTAGCACATGGGGTCCCCCCAAGCTCTGCCAGAAGTAATTCCTGAGTGCAGAGCCAGTAGGAAGCCCTGATCATTGCCTGGTGTGGCCCAAAACTAAAACCAGAAATTAAAAAATAAATAAATAAATAAAATAAAAGATTCTGACCAGAGAGTACAGTGAATAGGGCATTTTCCTTGAATACCACTGACCCAGGTTTGATCCCCGGCACCACACACAAATCCCCCAAGCACCACCAGGAGTGATATCAGAGCACAGAGTAAAGAATAAGCACTCAGCCCAGCCAAGTGTGCTCCCCCAACCAACCAAAATAATAATAATAATAATTATTAAAAAAGTACAAATCACTGCATTAGTAAAATTTAGAAGCTACAGTACATCATCCTTATATTTTAAGTCTCTCCCCAACTTTTTATGGATATCAGTTATCTAACTTTATCCTTATTTCCTTTGGCAATATACTTTTCTATTATTTATCTTAATGACATTAGAAATTTAATGTTCTTTACAATCTTTTTAAGCAAGCTCCTTTTCAGTTACCTGAATTTATTTCTTGTTGTTTGCTCTCATTAGTTAACGGATTATCATACAACTTCAAGTATATTTCAATTGCTGATCTAGCAGCCTTAAAATAAAAGGCATGTCTTCTGAGTACATCTTCTAATCTCAAAAGATCAACATAAGCACGAAGAGTCATCTTTCTCATGCAGTATGTATGGAAGTCAAATTGATCATCAGTTATCTCCAAAAAATGCTTAAAAACAAAATTAAAAATAAACCCTTATATTTATGTCAATAACATTTACTTTTGACTAGAATTATTTTTAGAAATTAAAAGCAATTTTAATAGACCCAAATTCACTAGGCTACCCACTAGAGTTTTCAGCTGTATTAAAAAATTAAGCATTTCTTTGCACTTAACTTTCTTTTTAATAATCTATGACCAGTCTCCAAAATCAGATTTTGTGATGATATTCAGTTTCTATGTATAAAAGTCAGAAGAGCAAATTATCTTTTAAACCTAGATAGTACAAATTTATGTTCTTCATTTTAATGAAGTTATTTCTCAATATCCTCTCTCCTCCAAATTAGCAAGGGAACTCTGAATCAAACTGAACATATATACAAATTCACACAAAACATTCAAAAATCACACTTTTCTAACTCAATTATGAGCTCTTCAAAATCATGCCCTGTCTTCTCTACCCTACTACCTGGCATAAGACAGCAACATAGAAGAAATTGGATAAGCATGGTGACCTCTGCCAACTCAAGATCAATTGTGAGGTGTGTGAATTCAATTTTTTAAAGCCTTGATAATGTAATCAAAGTTAGAATAAAGAAATTTATGCAGATAGTTTTATAAAGTTTTTTGTTAAACCAATCAAATAAAAACATTTTAAGATCATTTCAAGTAGTAAAGTGCTACACAAATGTAGCACTATGGTTTTCCCTCACTAAGTTTCCAAAATCCTTGTACATTCCCCTTTAGCAGAGATCTTAATCTGGATTCTATGTATAAACAACATTTCCTAAGGGAAAAAAATCCAAGGCTTTCATTCAATTCTCATAGGCTAAAAGCAGAAAAGGTTAAAACAAATCCCACGCAAGATGGCTCACTGGCCTAGAGCACACACTCTGCATCCAGGGATCCAAAAACGGATCCCTGGCTCAGAATGGTCCACCCAGTACTGTCAGGACTGACACCCGCCCCGCCTTCTGTCTCAAGCACAAAGCCTGGATGAGCCCCTAAAACATGGCTGGGTCTGGCACAAAACCAAACAAACCAAAAAAAGAATTATCAGTTAAATGAAAAGGACCTCTCCTTTAATAAAGCAACTTGCACTTTTACTTTCTTTCCAAAATGCATCTGTCTTTTTTTCTTTTAGTTTCTCTCAAAAACATACAGAAAAATCAATGGCTCAATACCTATCTAGGCCAAGCTCTTCAACTATTTCATCTTTCCTGTCCTGGGGTTGTACAGGAAAAGTTATTGTCCTGATTTAATCATTTAATTTTTAGTTGTCCTGATCATTAGAAACACACATAAAATTACATTAAGAGCCTGAGATTTTAAGAGAATTCAAAGATAATAAAAATATACAATGTGAAAATAGAAAAGAAAAATAAACATTTCACATTATTTTTTACTTCAAAAATATTTTAATGCTATATTTGAAAACATAATTCCTTCAATAATAAAAATCAACTCAAGTTATGAACTTGATCTTATTTTTTAAATAGAGAATTACATATTTCATAAAGTTGTTCAGTTTTTGTTAAGGTAAATCAAGTTATATGTAGCATCATAAAAAATTCTTTAAATCAAACCCAATCCTAACTAAAGAAATGCAGTGTAAAGTTATGGTACATAATAAGATGAGAGCATCTTAGGAGATTACAGGAATTCCTTCAGGCTAAGAAACATTTATATCTATGAATAAAAAAGCAGACACAAACTACAAGAAATACTTCTAGCAACATTAGTAGATTTAAGAAAAAGTCACATGGAACCACAAACATTTAAGCCGCCTCTTTTATCAGTTAACAGCCCACAAGCTGCCTCTCTCCAGTTAACATCTTCATTAAAATAAGGTAAACTATCCTAGGCTGCCCGAGCCTCGGCATCTCCACTGAAAAGGCTGATGTCTCAAGAACTTGCTCAGCCTTAGCAAACCTGAACATTTACTACTCTAGAATAAAATAAATTAGAAAATATAGGATGCTGCAAAAGTATCTTTGTTCTTGAAAGAAATAGCATTAGTACAGAATTCTACTTAGAACAACTAATACTAAATTTTTTTTAGAACTCTTAAATTATACAGAAGTTGCAATGGGTAGTACAGAAAGGATATCTTGATACTCTTATCTCAGTTTCCCCCAAAGATTACATACAAATCAAATGTGAAAAACCTGACACTGGTACAGCATATGTCTACAATTCTGTGTGCTTTTATCATGTGTAGATCTGTGGAACCACTCCCACAATCAAGATACAGAACTATTCCATCAAAATCATCTCCCTTGTAATACATAAAAATACAGATGGTAACACAAACAAAATTAATTTTCCTGTACTTTGGCCAAACATCATATGACATGGTCATATCAACTAACTGCAGAAAGTAGACATATGAATATCAGCATAAGTTCATACTCTCCAATTTTCTCAAAAACACTTTCAGCAAGGTGAGAAAATAACTGGCCGGAATAAAATTTGGTAGACTGTCAAAATTAGGGATGAATCAAAGAGGCTGGGCCAGCCAAAGAGACAGTGCAGTGGATAGGGCATTTGCCTTGCACACAGCCAATCCAGATTCTACCCCTGGTATCACTCCGTTAGTTCCCGGAGTCTATCAGGAGGAAGCCCTTAGTATCACCAGGTGTGAGGAACACTTGCCGCCCCCGACCCCTCCAAATAGCAAAAAGTCAAAACAAGTCAACACATAATTAAATGTTATTCACCGTAAATTCACGGCTTCCTTTACAAAATCCCTACAAAGCCCTCTCTTCTGATCTAGATGCATTACTTCTGAGTTCTTAGAGACTAGTTAAGAGTTCATATAGAAAAAGGCAACAAAACTAAACCTAATATATAAACAGATAAACTAGGGTAATAAGCAGATTTACTATTTGCTTGTAGAGAATCATCACCATAAAGAGCACACAAGTCAATTTGAACTATTAAGATGCAACGGAAAGGAGGCTTTCAGCTGCCAGTCTGTAGACTGGTCTTCAAGATTAAGAGGTTGAAAACACTACCCAGAATCTTCCTATAGTGTCTTCATCTACCAAATGTCTTAGATCTTATTTAAAAAATATATATGAGTATTGTTTGTTTCAGATACAAATCATCAAGACAAAGTTCCGAAAACCCATCACCCAAAAAAGGGAAAAGAAATAACGTCTAAAAAATAAAGTTTAAAATGTTGTTCTAAACATGAATTTATATCCAGTATCTTGAAGATAATAGTTTTGTCTTGATTTTAATAAAACTCAAGTTCTAAATATCGGACCAGATTGAACTACAACATTTTTATATAATCCTAAAATCCTAAAAGGTGACTAATCTTGAGAAAGAGAAAATACCTATCTTAGGTCTTTCTAGAATTCTAACCCTGAAAATCGAATTACTATAAATGTTACAGTAATATGCACCTGAACAGAAACTGCCTTCAACAAAAGATTTCTTGAATTCTTGGAAAGCATAAAAATGATCTGGCCTCATTTAAACTTCTATTTCTACTCACTGACCTATTTAGAAGATAAACCTCCAGGTATTTTCCTTATTAAAATACTTAAAACCCAGGTACAAGAGTGACTTATGAAGATACCTATAAACTTATTTTGTAATTATATTACTAAATCCTTATAATTAAATCAATTATATACAATTATATGACTTTTCTTTTAGATTATAGGAGTTTTATTAGAATTTTGGGTACCTTTAATCACCTTAAACTAAGCACTCACATTTCTACATATGAACACTAGAAGAGTTGTATCTTACTTATTTTCAGTGTGCTACACATAGAGGGTAGGGGGGAATGGTGCGCATATCTGGATTACTCCTGGCTCTGTGCTCAGGAAGCAGTCCTGGGGGGGGGTCTTAGGGGATCATATGTGGTTCAGGGATCAAACCCAGGTCATTACGTGCGAGGCAAGCACCTTCTGGACTATCTTTCTGGTCAAAATCTTACTTACTTATAATATGAATTATTCACTAAAATATAGTAGTAGGTAGGTAGTTTCTTTTCCTATTTATGCCTCAAGTTCTTTGTATTCTCAAGCATCAACAGCAAACCTAAATAAAGGTAGTTAAATTTTCAGCAATTAACCAAGTTAAAAATATAACTGGATAGTAATGACTTCTGCAATGTTTTAATTGCTAATTACTTCTTGTAAAATTTTCTTTAAAAAATGCTTTTTATAAGCCAAACTGTATTTTTAGCTAGAGCTGGATTTAAAGTTCTACAAGTATTTTCTAGATTCTATTAATTTCACATTATAAAATTACATAGAATTTTGTTTCTTGCTAGTGAGCCACAATCACTGAAAATTAAAGAAAAGCAAAATCCAAAAGAAACCTGGTATATGGACAGCTATTAATCATATTCTAACAATCCCTCCTAAATAGTAAATAACTATAGATATAAGTTGTTTGTGTTAGGAAGAATCAATTTGTAAGTTGGGGAAATTCACAGAAACAATGATCTCAGAAATAATCAAATTTCCGTTTCACCGAAAATATGATAAAGTCCTAGTTATGGTCTAGTTGGATTATTGGCCCTACGAGTGCAGCAGCCTCTTCACTACTGAGAACATACTGATGAATTACATTTTTCCTAAGCAGAATGCTTTTAAAGTGGCAGTCATATGGACGGGAATGTCAAAATAAACTAGCGATCTATGATTTTATCTCAGGAATAAGAGCTAGGACACATAAATCTTGCCTTAATTTATATTTTGCAAGAAGCAGAAGTTTCCCCAGGGATAACAGCCATCTATGTTCTGGCCTAAAAGAGGGGCGGGGGGGGGGGGGGGTTATATACATACCCCATAATGCAAAAACTACCTTATCTCTGGGGGCTCAGATATTAATTCTAACTCTAGTTCCCATCAAAAGCCACCCCCTAGTATTTTGCCTTTCTTTTGGGTAACCACAGAAATTTCAATGGGAAAAAGGCCAAAGTGACTGCAGGAGTGCAGACATCAGGCTCACCTGACTATGATGCCTGTGGTTTTATACTGCGTCAGCATGGGAACAGTGGTGCAGATAGACCCCACAACTGAGGGCTGCTGAGTACTGCCTCAGGGGTGCATTTGTGGCTCTTTTCCTCCTGTTGTCCATTTGGAAGGAGAGTGCTTCAGAGATGACAAAGAACAGGAAAACAAAAATTCACACAAAGGAAAAGAAAAGTCCCCTCACTGAGGCACATCACACATTTAATCCTAAAAGCAAGTAATAAAATAAACCAGCAATCCAAGCATAGATTACTGTACAAAACACTGAATGTAGGAACAAATCTCCTGAGAAGACAAACTGGAGAGAGGCTGACTACGGAGCAGAACCTGATGTAAAGCAGAAAGAGGTGGCCATCAGCTTGTGTATCCTTCAGTCTAATCATGAAAATCAAATAATGGCCGAATTCGGAATTTGAAATTTTGATTATGTTAACAAATAGCAACAATGGCTTACTAAACTGATCTTTTCCTTCTTCAGACAAAATATATAGACACGTAGAAATCATGACCATTTGAGAATTTTTTTAAAAACGATCATTTATTCACAACTTCTAAACATTTGAAGGCCAAAAGTCAAAAACTTTTTCATAAATGAAATTCTGAAAACAGAAGTATATGATCCTGTGTAAAAATCTGCCTTTTTTTTTTCAGTCACCTTTAGAAGAAAAATAAGGTCAAAGTTCTATTAACTTACCCTTTCTACTTCATGGCATTTTTTCAAGGCATCCCCGTATCTCCCCAAACGCTGGTAAGCTGAAATGCATTCTGTCTGAAACCACATACACTGCATCTCATTTAAATTCTCCATGGCAGATGTTCCTTCCTGAAACAGAAGCATTGTTAACTATTGAAAGAAGTAACCAGAGATCCTAAAAATCTCATTTCTCCTTTACCATGACAGCTGTCTTAGTAAGACAATAAAGAGCAATAAAGAATTAACTCTTATTTATGCAGTGCTAGGGTATTCACTACATAGAAAAGTCTCCAGTTTGGGTTTTTTGGGAGGAGGAGCTGGCGTGGGAGGTGGGGGGGGGGGGGGGTGGTAAGGGTAACTGAAGCTTCTCTAGCAGGGTGCTCAAGGTCCATTTGCGGTACCTGGGAATCACAGTGTCAATAACTGAATCCAGGGTGCAGCACTGCAGTCCAACATTTCAGTCATTGCTCCAACCCCCCACAAGCTAAGATTTTTATATCAAAGCCTCTACTTATTATTTAATATAGTGACCTTACGAAGTATAGTTAAGCTTTCTTTGTCCTTTACTAATGAAAGCGACTGAACCTTTCCCTGCTGATTCTAGGACCCTGTAATAACCCTTGATTAATACCCATTAATCAAGTCTGTTAGCAACAGGTTTTTAACTTTGCTTGAGATACTAATTTTCAATACTGAAAATGATGATTTTATGTATTAATTCCAACACATACCCTGCCCCAAGTTAGCAGAAGTTTTTTCTGGCTTTTGGTTTCCCAGTACCCTCCATTCGTGTTATCAGGTGTCACTTTCTTTGTCCCCTATGTTTCCTCCTACAGAATCTCCTGTTGTCTGACAATTCTTTGCCACAGGCTGACAAAATCAAGTAACTAAAGTTATTAAGAATAGCTGCCAGTTAAGGCTCAATGAGAATCCTAAGAAGATTAAGTATGCGGCTGGAGAGATGGTACAAGTAGACAGGGTGTTTGCCTTGCACACAGCTGACCTGGGTTTGATCTCTGGCTTCCCATACGGTCCCCCAAGAACCACCAGGGTAGTTCCTGAGTTCAGAGCCAGGAGTAACCCCTGAATATCATCAGGTAATAAAAACTTCTCAAAATAAAAAAATTAAAAGATTATATGATAAAGTATCAGTTTCAGTTCAGCAACATTGGAGTTGTCTGTTCAGAAGAAATAAAAATTTTGAGTATTTTGTGTGGCCCAGGAAATGTGGCAGTGGTATTTTTACATAAATAATTTTAAAGTCCTCAGTTCTCTTTGTATAATTTCTTTTTTTGTTGAGTACATTTTTATCATTTATATTTTTACTTACAAAAATTAACTAGAACTATCTTCAGCCAAAAAATCTGCAACAAGGAATTATCAACACTTCATTAGCAATCATACCCAAATTTAATTATTCATTCAAGGTCACCAACAGTTTCCCCCCCACCTTGCCATATGTTCCACCAGAGACTTGCAAGGGCACTGACTGGTATAAACACACTGACTGTGTACTTAATTTAGCATGAAACTTGTCAAGGGGGAATAACGAGAGCAACAATTAAGCTGTAAAGTCAGGGTTATTTGGTTTTGTTTGGGGGCCACCCCTGACGAAGGACAGGGCTTTCTCCTGGGAGTGTTCAGGGGACCTTTTGGGGTGCCTGGGATCAAACTCGAGTTGGACACATGCAAGGCTAAACCTGCTGTACAATCACCAGCGCAGCGCCCAGCCACAGATTTTGGTAACTATTCTCAAAAAGCCAAGCTTTTCCCTGCTTTCTCAGACACAGCCTAGTTGACTTTGGTTTATTATCTTTTGTTGTAAATAATTGGATTTAATTAATGTTTTATATACCAAAACTCTTCTCTAGAAACATATTTTTCTGTTTATGTTTACTCTGTGGTTGTAATCTTCCTCTTGTGATACAGGGCATGGAAAAAATTTAAAAACACACTAATTACCATGTGACCAAAGATTTGCATCAAGCAATCTCTTCAGAGTCTCAATCACTTTACCGGTCAACAATCTTGATTAAATGAATTTAAACAGTATTAGTATTCTACTTTCAAATGTTATCTTTTCTCATAGTACCCCATCTTCTTGCAAATGCTTTCCCCAAAAGTATGTTTAACCACCATATCTGCAGCTGATTCTATAGCATCTGAGCTTTAGATACTAGACAGTGCAGTTACTTCTCTTATCACACAATTCTAAAACATAGGCTTAGCGTTAGATACCAGTACTGAAACCCACACTCAAATTGAACGAATACCTGGGTGATCTTCAGCTGGCAAAGTGCATATCTCTCTAAACAATTTTCTTAACTATGATTTGTTTGTGTGTGTGTGAAGACATATATAGCACTTTTCAATACTAAATAATACCAAACTTTCTGCCAATCTGATGGCACAACAAATGTCTTTTATTGTTTCCCTCATTACTAATGAAGGTATACTTTCTTGGCCATTTTGTTTTCCACTGCTGGGAAATACTTGTTCATATCTTGTCTTACTGAGTTTCGTGTATTATTTGTTTCTATGACTTCTTGCAAGAGGTCAAACTTTCATGATAAAAATTTAAGCCATTCTGTGACTTCTAAACTATAAGACATTTCCAGCAGCATGGAACACAACTACAATCTATGCATAGAACATAATTAGTTAACATTTTTCCTTAATTTAATTTCTAGATATTTTAGGGTTTTTTGTTTTGTTTTGGGGTTACATCCAGTGATGCTCAGGGGTTACTATGACTGGCTCTACACTCAGGAATTTCTCCTGGTAGTGCTCAGGGCCGGGGATGGAACACAATTGAGCTGCATGCAAAGCAAAAGTCCTACCAGCTGTACTAGCGCTCTGGTCCTAATTTCTTAACAAGAAATTCATTAAATCACCATGAGACACCAAGTTACAAAGCTGTTTATGACTGAGCTTCAGTTGAAAAATGAGCACCCATGCTTTCACCATTGTCTAGTTCCTTCCACAAATGTCCCCTGCAGGTTCCCTCCTGCACTTTTCTTTTTTTCCTTTAAGGCACTACACTTTGCAATATTGCTACTGAAAGAATATCATGCACATCACTTTACGTCCATTCAGCACCCAGTTCTTGTTCAGAGTGATCACTGCCTAGTATCAACTATATCATTATCAATGTCATCTCTTCTCTACCAACCACCCTCCCCGCATTGTGGTAAACTACCCCCTCCTTTTTTTTTTAATTTCATTGAATTAAGTTACAAGTTTTCATGTTTGGGTTACCATCACACAATGATCAAACACCCATCCCTCCATCAGTGCACATTCCCCACCACCAATCTCCCCAGTTATACCCACCCTCACACCTTCCCCCCGCCTCCATGGCAGACAATATTCCCCATACTCTCTCTCTACTTTTGGGCATTATGGTTTGCAATACAGACACTGAGAGGTCATCATGTTTGGCTCATTATCTACTTTCAGCACTCGTCTCCCATCCTGACTGATTCCTTCAGTCATCATTTTCTTAGTGATCCCTTCTCTATTCCATCTGAATTGTGGAAATCTTCCTACCAAGGACAAGTCCTGACATATTCAGGCCTGGTAGTGAAGTCCTTAATCCATTTGACTTGACTTGTGCATGGCATCAGGAAGAGATATAGGTTCACTTTTTTGTTAGTTAACAATTAAGGAAAGTAGTACACTATCACACTAGGATACATTAGCATAAAGCACAGTAATTAACTGTGAATAACTCACCTGCAAACACAAGCACTAAAACCCTCCAAGTTTTATGTAATATATAGAAAAGTACAAAATTTCATTCCAAAGAATATAATGAAACTTGGGTATCAAACCTGCAAACCTAATTTCCTTTTACTTCCCAGTCACAATCAATGAATATAACTAGTTTTCATTATATGGATTAGAACTATCTTCTCCAAACCTATGGTTTATCTTCTACTGTGCTTTGGCTTTTTTTTGTTATACATAAACTTTAATTTTAATGTAGTCAAGACTATCAAAATTGTTTTTATACTTTAGGCCTTTTGGTGCACTACTTCCTACCTCACTTTGTAAAGATACACTTCTATACATTTCTTCTTAATATTTGAAAAGCTTCCTTTGGGGGGCTGGAGAGACAGTACAGTGAGTATGGTCCTGGTCTTACACGCAGTTGATCTAGTTTCAATCACCAGAACCCCATATGGTCCCCCAAGCTCCACATCCCTGAGCACTTCCCTCTGTGGCCCCAAAATTTGGGGAAAAAAAAAGAGTTTCCTTTTCATACTTAGATCATGAATCCACCTGGAGCTGATCTGTGTGCAACATATTTACTTACACACACACACACACACACACACACACACACACACACACACACCACTCTTTCAATAAATTCTTTTCATCTCTGGGTATTAGATTATTTCTGAATAATATTTCTAAATACACGTTAGTCTGCTTCAAGATTTGTACTGTTCTACTGGTCTACTTACAGTTTAACCATCAACATTTATTTTTTATAACATAACAAAGTCTAGATCGTTTTGTGGTTCATAAGCATGATGTAAACTCAGGGAAGTTAATCATGCATAAAGGTACTCTGTAAGCCATTCTAACTAAAGAAATTTAAAAACGATCATGAAGCTGGAATACAGTTCATGCTCTGCCTATAGAAGGCTGGATTTGATCCTCAATTCTTAACAGAAACAAAAGCGTTACAAATTACTTATGAAATAAAATAACTGCAAACTGAATTTTATACATAAGCACTAAAGCTGAACATTTTATTTTTGTACTATACACCACTACAAGTCAGGCACTTATACACATTCAACCACAATAAGCAAACACATTCAGGGACCCGGGATTAAAAACAGGATTTTTAATTAAAACAGGGTGCCAGAGTGACCGCACAGTTGGTCAAGATTTGCATGTACACAGCTGACCTCAGATTGATTCCTGAAACCTTATATGATCCCCCTAGCCTGAGTCCTGCCAGGTGTGAGTCCCCCTCCAAAATACAAATAAACAACAACAAAAAAACTGAGATGAGTTCTTAGTAACTCTAGCAACAAAATTACAAAGCATCATAGAACTTCAGTCTGACTAACTCAGGCAATTATATACTCATGTATGCCAGTTCCTACCCTTGTGAATTTGGAGCACATTTCCTCTGCTTCTTTTATCATATTTGCTCGAAGCATATATTTTGCACATTTGGAATTGATGAACCTATCAGCTGTGTCCAAAGACTGTGCTTCATCCATCCATTTTACTGCTTCTTTGAGATTGCCTATATGCTTTAAGAGACAAAAATATTAGAAAAATCACAACATATGACTGGGATAATATGGATGCAATATAATGGGAAAAGCTTACAAAAACAAACTAGAAATTTGAAATTATTTCCATTAAATTGATCTGAAAATCATTATATGAATTATACTTGCATTTGTAAGAGCTAAAACAAAACACTAATTAGTCTGTTACAATTGTGCAACATGAAATTTTTTAGAATTATGAAAAAACACTATTAGAGTTTCCTAGAACAAAGATTAAGTGGCAGAGTCTTCAACTACTCAAAAACATGAATAAACTAGTTTTACCTTGTAAATTTTGGCTTTCATATAGAATAATTCAATTAGTGTTGGTGTGCTACCAATTGCAGCATTAATATAATCTAAAGCCAAAGAATATTGTCCAAGTTTATCAAAGTGCTGTGCCAGGAAATACTGAACCCAGAGGAGTGTCGTTGGGGGTTCCTTCTCCCCATTCTCTGAAATCAAACATAAAATTATAGAAGGCAAAGTAAAACAAATCACATTCCTTTCCCCCAATGCATAATAAATAGTATTACGTTAATAAACACTAAAAATCCAACAGCAATAAAAAATTTTAACAGAAAGAGGCTACGACTTCATACTACGAAGTTCAGAAAGTGGTGACCAAACCCTTTTTGAAACTAGCCAAAGATGCTAGTTTATAACTTCCACCTCGCCAAAAAAAAAGTGCTTGGGAAAAGGGGTAAATTAATCTAAGTATAAGTTCTCAAGCCAAGAGTATATGAGCAAGGGAAAAATAGGAAAAATAAGACAAGAAGCAATATTTTATCAGTAGAAACTTCAATAAAGTCAAGAAATAGCAGAGCTCAGCAATTTTTAGGCCTTAACACTAAATCAGAGAAACCCAAAACTGAAAGACTGAAAGAAAAGATAGAGTTCTGAAAAGGTGAAATTAATCCTACACTGAGGCAACAGCTGAATCCTTTCTTACTCCCCATTCTGTACCTTACCTTTAAAATACAGAAGAACTTACAAAGAAACACCAAACTCTCAAGATAGTACCAAAAAAACCACCATAAAAAAAAAAGAGAAAGAAAAAAAAAAACAAGGAAAGCCTACAGGAAGAAAAAGAGCAACAAGAAGAGAAACCAAGTTCTCAAAATGAGTTTCAGAAGGGAGGACATACTAGCATAAAATGAAGAAGAGGGGCCAGAGAAACAGTACAAGTGCCTTACAAGCTATCAACGTGGGTTTGATGCCCAGCATCCCAGATGGTCACGCAGCACTACCAGGAATGATTACTAAGTGCAGAGCCAGGAGTAACCTCTGAACATTGTCAGGTGTGGCTCAAAAACCAAGTAAATAAATAAAATAAAGAAGAAAGAGAATTTACTAACAATACATCATAAAGATCAGATTTGAAAAACAAAGATATCTTAGACAAGCAAAGGACAGTTCAACAATGCAAACACAAATTAACATATTAAAAACAAATTATAAAGGGAAAGTTAGGTATTTATCTTGCTTTTCTTATATAAACTTTTATTTCTGAAGAACTAAATTTTTATGAGAAAAAGATCTTTATAAAAAAATTTCAGTTATGAAAAAAAATAAAAAAATTTTTTAAAAATTTAAAAAAATTTTCAGTTATGATACCATAGCAACAATGCATTGGGTAAGGAGCTTGCCTTATATGTGCCCAACCCGGGTTCAATTCCCAGCATGACATATGGTCTCCTGAGCTCTCCAGGAGTGAACCAAGAGCACAGAGTCAGGAGTAAAACCTGAGCCCTTCTAGGAATGGCACCCCCCAAACAAAAAACAAACAGAATTTTAGTTATAATAAATGTAAGGGACAGGAATGTAGCTTTGCAGTAGAGTAATCGCCTTCCACGTATGAGAACCTGCATGCAATTCCCAGCACTGAAACAATAAAAAAGAATGAAAAAAAAATTTGAGGGTACGGAGATAGCTCGAAAGGCTCTATTTGTGTGATTTGTGTGCTAGAAGCCTAGGTTCAACACCCAAGGGCAGCCAAGTGTACCAAAACAAAAAAATACAGAGAAAAATTATTAGAAAAAATAATATTCCTGGAAAATTTATATTGCTGGCTAACTCCCACCTCATAAAATGATGGAAAATTTAAATTAAGTAAGATTGAAAGTATTCTTCCCATTTCGTTCACTAATTCAAAAACGATTTAGTAAAGTATCAACAGCACACAGATAATTAACACTAGTTGCACTGTGACCAGAAATAAGTTTTAAACGAGCAATGAAATTCCAACTCAATCTAAACTTACCATAAGGACTGAAAAAGTCACATGTTCTAAGAGAGGCTTCATAGTTAGTCACAAGTTCCTGGATTATAGAAATCTGTTAAAGAAACAGAATTTCAAATTTTAAAAATATTTCATTGAAGGTATTCATATTTTATCATGAATTAAATTTAGAACAATATACAGCTGACTTCAGAACTACAAATTAACTAAGCTATTAGGTTTCTGCTTTTCCCTCCCACACAGGGAAAAAAGAGCACATGGAAATGTACTGCCATCTTAATAGTAAAACAAAATCTACCAATTTCCCATCACAATAAGCTACTTGAGGTACTGAAGAACAATTATCAACAATTACTATAAAATCTTTTCTTCGCCAAAATAAACATATCAGTTTAACTTACTAACAGTTAATTTACTTGTCTTTCCTTTCCTGTTATACTGTGAAAGCAGTAAAGCATTATACTTTTAAGATTTTCTGAAATGTTGCTTAATACTGAAAAATTCAGAGAAATGATCAAAACTATAAGGTGAGATTAAGCAAATTCTTAACAAAGTATTTAAATGACCTTTGGTCCTTGATCCTTTTGATAAGTATTTAGTAAGACTAAAATGCTACAAACTACACTGTGAATGTGCTCTGCCCTGAAAGCATCAAATGAAAAGTCACAAGAATTAAAAATGGCAGGAAAGAAAAAGTTTTCCCTTATATGTATATATAATTTTAAATATCTAATGATATTTACTATTCATAATAAATCTAAATATGACTATCTTATATTAAAAAAGGATAAACTGAAGAAAAATGATTAGAAAAAATTAAAACAAGCTGAACACACACTAAGGTAGAGTCAGAATTTAACCCAAGAAATCAGATTCTAGCTTTTAGCTGATATGCTCTATTACTCAGTGAGTAAGACAAAGACGCACACTTCTTACTAAATGGCAATTCACCTCAACTCACAGGAGAGTAAAACTAGTACAGGAAACTACAACAAGGTATTTTTACCCAGGAGCATGGGCACTATCAAAAAGCAAAAACCAGAAAACAAGTTTTGGAAGAATGTGAAGGAAGTGAAACCTTTGTACAATACTGGGAATTAAAATAGCATAAGGAAGAGTACAGTAATTACTCAAAATTTAAAAAATTAACAAATGGACCAACAAGTGCATATCTGAGCACATGCCAAAAGATGAAAAATTAGAACCTCAAATAGGTTATTTGTACAACCATGTCCCTAGCAGCATTATTCAAAACAGTATTAACACTAGAGCAATAGCACAGTGGTAAGAGCGTTTGCCTTGCACGTGGCCGACCCTGGTTCGATTCCTAGTATCCCATATGGTTCCCTGAGCACTGCCAGGAGTAATTCCTGAGTGCAGACCCAGGAGTAATCCCTTTGCATTGCCAAATGCAAAAAAAGGGGAAAAAAAAAAAAAGCAAATGAGTATTAAGTCATGTTGGAGTTCTAACTGGCTCAGCCCCTTGACCACTAGAGGTCGCAGGGCCCGTGGGAAAGCCCCAGGTCCTGTCTTTTCTGGGAATCAGCTCTTGCTGGGGGAAACCTGACATTTTTGGAGAATAACATAGATTAATTGGCCTTACTATTGCCGGCAGCCGATGGCTTGGGATGTGGGAAGCAGACATCTTCTTGCAGCTTCCTAGCCCCCCTTGTGTCTCCACCTCCTGTTCGTTAGTGCAGGTAGGCACATTCCTTCAGCCTCCATTTGATCGCTGTCTCTCCTAATAAACTTGGTCATGTGACTACTAATGTATGGCTTCTATGGGTGGCTTTTTCTTAGTCATGTTGCATGCATAAATCTTTGAGCATCCATTGCCCTAGGTTCAAGGAATTGTCTCACATTCCCAGGGTCTTGGTACCTGCTAGATGGTTACAAAACCCACGTACATTGATGGACATGTAAACCACTATGTACATTTATGTGGTATACAATATTATTCAACTTTTAAAAAGCAAGGACTTTCTGCAATATGCTATAACAGGGATGAATCTTGAAGATATTAAAAAGGGTAAAGGTAAAGGCCCTCCCGTTGATCGTCGATTTGCTCGAGCGGGCCCAGTAACGTCTCCATTGGAGACTTTGTTGTTACTGTGTCTGGCATACTGAATACTCTCGGTAGCTTGCCGGGCTCTCCGAGAGGGGCAGAGGAATCGAACTCGGGTCGGCCATGTTGGCCGCTTGTAAGGCGAATGCCCTACCCGCTGTGCTATCGCTCCAGCCCAGGGGCTGGAGTGATAGCACAGCAGGGAAGGTGATTGCCTTGCACAGGGCAGACCCAGGTTCGAGTCCCAGCATCCCATATGGCCCCCTGAGCACCGCCAGGAGTAACTCCTGAGTGCAGCACCAGGAGTAACCCCTGTGCATTGCCAAGTGTGACCCCTGTCACTGTCCTTGAAGATATTAAGTGAAATAAATTACAAGAAGACAAATACTGTATGACTGCCCTTATATGTTCCAAATTATAAATCTCGAGAAACATACAGCTACAATAGAGTATATGTCTTGCATATGTGAGGCCTTGAGTTGGTATCTGCACAACCTTTACAACAATGTACATACAAAATTATTAAGTATAATAGTGACAACCATAAGAATGGTTAGAGGGAAAAGGTATAAAATTTTAGATCTAAAAGATAAACAACTGTAGGGGTGGAGAGTCAACAAGTAATACCACTGACTTGGCTTTAAAACTGGTTAAGATTGGCTAGAGGACAAGCTTTGCATGCTGAAGGACTGGATTAAATTCTCCACACCACATGATCCCTGGGCCCTAAATACTGTCAGGAGTGACACTTGAGCAAAGAGCCAACAGTGGCCTCCCTGGGGCTGGAGTAATAGCACAGTGGGTAGGGTGTTTGCCTTGCACGCAGCTGACCCAGGTTCAATTCCCAGCATCCCATATAAGTCCCCTGAGCACTGCCAGGGGTAATTCCTGAGTGCAGAGCCAGGAGTACCCCTGTGCATGTGTGCATTGCCAGGTGTGACCGTCAGCCCCCCCCCAAAAAAAGAGTGGCCTCCCTGAGTACTGTTTGAATCCAAAACAAAACAAAAAAGGAAAATAAAGTGATCAAGATGATGAATGTATAATATTTTACCAGAGGAAGTGTTAAAATAGTAATCTTAAAGTATGACCTCGGACTAATATCAGTATTAGCGTTACCATCAGGAAGTAATTTGTTAGTTACTTACAGAATCTCTAGAACCAGAATTCTCTTTTTAGCAAGCCCTTTTAATTAGTCCTATGGAGTTTGTGAACTAAGAAAATGTTCCAAAAAGATTGATAGTAAAAGCAAAATTAAAAGCATGGCATTGGGCTGGAGCGATAGCACAGTGGGTAGGGCATTTGCCTTGCACGCGGCCAACCCGGGTTCGATTCCCAGCATCCCATATGGTTCCCTGAGCACCGCCAGGGGTAATTCCTGAGCACAGAGCCAGGAGTGACCCCTGTGCATTGCCGGGTGTGACCCAAAAAGCGAAAAAAAAAAAAAAAAAAAAAAAAAAAAGCAAGGCATTTACCTATCACAACCAATACCAGGGTATCAACCTCATCACTGTCACTGTCCTCCTATTAATCGATTTACTCGAGCAGGCCCAGTAACGTCTCCATTGTGACAATTATTACTGTTTGGCATATCGAATACGTCACGGATAGCTTGCCAGGCTCTCCGAGAAGGGCAGAGGAATCGAACTCGGCTTGATCATATTGGCTGCGTGCAAAGCAAATGCCCTACCTGCTGTGCTATTGCTCCAGCCCATCAACCTCATGGTTATGGTTACAGTCCTCCCATTGTTCATCGATTTGCTCGAGCAGGTCCAGTAACGTCTCCATCATGAGACTTGTTGTTACTGTGTTTGGCATATTGAATATATCATGGGGAGCTTGGCAGGTTTTGCCGTGAGGGCAAGATCCTCTTGGTAGCTTGCTGGGCTCTCCAAGAGAGGCGGAGGAATCGAACTCGGGTCAGCCATGTTGGCTGCGTGCAAGGCAAACGCCCTATCCACTGTGCTATTGCTCCAGCCCATAAACCTCATAGAGTAGTTTTAATTTAAGGCAACATTTCCAAGTTTAAACATTCAGTATAGTAAATCCTTAAGAACCAGATAGGTTCTTGGGAACTCCAACTTCAGGCAAACAATATATAACTAGACCAAGTCCTCAAAGAATGTTGCTTCATTCATTCAGTATCATTTACTTACAACACTGATGAGTCAAAAAGGAATCCCTGCTCATTCTGTTGTTGATTCTTTAAAAAAAAAAATTGCTCTATTGGATAGTGGTTTTAGTTATGAAGGGATATGTTTTCATAAACTTCAATGCCATCTACTGGCACTTGTGGAAACTGCAGCTAGAGCTGGTTTTTAAGGTAAGGTAAATGTGTACCTTTATGTAGGATTAAACCCCTTTTTTTATATTTTTAATGAATCACCGTGAGGTATAGTTACAGACTTAAAACTTTCATGAGGGGCTGCAGAGATAGCACAGCGGGTAGGGCGTCTGCCTTGCACGCGGCCGACCCAGGTTTGATTCCCAGCATCCCATATGGTCCCCTGAGCACCGCCAGGTGTAACTCCTGAGTGCATGAGCCAGGAGTAACCCCTGAGCATCGCCGGGTGTGACCCAAAAAGCAAAAAAAAAAAAAAAAAAAACCTTTCATGATTACGTTCCAGTCATACAATGATCGAGCACCATTCCTCCACCAGTGCCCATTGTCCATCACCAATGTTCCCAATATCCCCCCCTTCCACCTCTGTGGCAGGTGCATTCTCTTTTACTCTCTTTTTTTGGGTATTAAGGTTTGCAATATGGGTACCAAGTGGCCATCATGTTTGGTCTACCTTGCAAAAATAAACATAGTCTGCTTTCAGCACACATCTCCCATCATGAGAGAGCCCTCCGAGCATCACTTACTTGGTGGTCCCCTCTATATCTCAGCTGCCTTTCCCCACCCCCCGCATGTAAGGCTGACTTTCAAGCCATGGAGTGATCCTCCTGGCCCTTATCTCTACTATCCTTGGGTGTTAGTCTCCCATTATGCTACTTTATATTCTAGGATTAAACTTTCTGTTCATCTGTAGTTTGTTTTGGGGCTACATCATACAGTGTTCAGGAACTGAACATTACATGTAGGTACTCCTACCTTGGCATTTAAGATATTGCTACTAACAGTGTTCAGGAGACCATGCAGTGCCAGGAATTGAACCCACTGCCTCACACATGGAAACAAGTGTTTCATGGCCACATTCCCAGCCTCTCGGATGAAACATTTAAGTGTGAAATCAGCCAGAGGGAAAGGTGCAGACTCAAAATGGTCATTTTCATATGTGGTATATAAAGAAACTTCCTAAGGGAATAGCAAATGCCAAAAGGCAACAGGAAAGAAGACCTAGAGAACTTCAGTAAGAGCAAGAGGACTTTAGCAAGAAAACTTCAGTAAGAGCAAGAGGACTTCAGTAGAAAGCTTGCCTACTGAGGAAGATGGAGAAGGGTTTGGGTTGGGGGTGGGGGAATAAGTTAGGGAAAGAACACTAGGACAATTGAGGAAGATAAATGTGTCTGCCACAGAGTCAAGCTAGGGGGCAGGAAGGAAAATGGGGACATTGGTGGAGTATAGTAGGCACTGGTGAAGGGGCTGATGTTGGAACATTGAATGAAATTCAATCACAAATATATTTGTAACTTTGTACTTCACATTAAATGAATAAAAATAAATTTAAAAAACTTTTTAAGTAGGTTTGACTTCCTTCCTTCCTCTTTATTTCAGGTTTTACTTCTGCTTCTGTGTTCAGGGATCACTCCTAAAAGGGTCAAGCCAAGGTTGGGCAGGGTTGGTCAACCTTGCAAAAATAAACAGTTTCGTAGATTTTCTACTTTTGCTTGATTTAGCACCATTCTACTCTGCTACTTGTAAGAATGTAAAAGCTGATGATCAAGTTCTTTATGCTCTCTATGGCATAATGGAACATAGTGGCTCAATGCTAGCTCACAGCACTGCTTACATGAAAATAATGCTTCCAGGAAGTTATTGGAACATATTACCGGAAGGAAAAATGTCCCTGGTTTGAAGGAACCCGAGAATGAATTGGCAGACCTGAGGGACCATATTAGTGAAACTTATGTGCAGGTGGTTCCCGAAGCAAGAGCACTTAGTGCACAAGCAAGCCTTCTGTTTTATGAAAGAATATTATAATTCTTTGTTAAGTATTCATGGCAAAATTGGTTTTATATTTTTAAGTGGGAGGGGGGGGCTAACACCCAGCAATGCACAGGGGTTACTCCTGACTCATGCACTCAGAATTACTCCTGGGAGTGCTTGGGGGACCATATGGGATGCTGGGAATCGAACCTGGGTCGGCAGCATGCAAGGCAAACCACCCTACCCACTGTGCTATCGCTCCAACCCCACTTTGATTAATTTTAAGTTACAACACAGGCTGAAGTTATACATTTCTTTATAAAGAAGTATAATACCAATGAATAAAATATTCAGCTTGAGACCGTCAAAACAAAATTTATGTTATTCAGACCAGCAATAGAAAAAAATTGTCTACTGTTGCCTTCTTTGGCAGATCTGAGTGTTGGGGTAAAATCCCAAATAATAATGGTGGGTCTGGTGTCAAAATATTGAATGCAATCAAAGTAGAGAGAGAGTAATGTATAAATCATCTGCCCCACAGGTAGGGGGAGGGTGTGGGATCGGGGTATACTGGGGCTTTTGGTGGTGGAAAATGGGCACTGATGAAGGGACGGGTGTTTCACTGCATGAATGAGACAAACCGAAAGCTTTGTAACTGCTCTCACGGTGATTCAATAAATAAAATTATAAAAAAGGGGGAAAAAAAAGTAAGGTGGAGTTCATGCCCAATTCAATCAGGCTAAACAATGGCTGAAAAAATAGCAATACTCCCACATTAAAAAAAAAAATACAGACTGAAAAATTACAGCTAACCTATGAACAACAAAGGTTTGAACTGTACATGTCCACTTGTATTGCTTGTAAATAGATTTTTCAAACTTATAGTATGAAAAATATGGTATAGCATATTGTTGCAAATTGCTATTATAAATGCTATTATCTTCCCTGTGACTTTGTTTAAAAAGTCTAGCTTTCTCAACCTACCCAGTTCCATACTCAGCTTTTTTCTTTATAAGAACACAGCAAATAACACATACAATATACAAAGCATGTTAACTGATTTATCTGGTAAAGCCCCCTGCTACTGCAGGCTATTAGTGATTTAGCTATGCAAGACTCCAAAGTTACAGGACTGGGTAAGAGGGATACTGGGATCCGTGGTGGTGGAAAATGGGCACTGGTGGAGGGATGGGTATTTGATCATTGTATAACTGAAACCCAAAAACAAAAATTTGTAAGTCTACAACTGTACCTCGTGGTGTTTCACTAATAAAAATTAAAAAAAAGTTACAGGACTGTCAGGCTCTCACATGAGGGAGATTTGGCAGGGTGGGGGAAGGCAGTGTCATTAACTCTTAACACCCTCACTGATTAATATTTCTCAACTGGTATTTGAAAACTATTTCCCATACTTATGAAGTTTTCCTCACTGCACTAAATTTTAACATGTAAACTAATTTTCTATAGTTCATTTCTCAAAAGTACCTGAAAACATTTCTGTTGCATGCCTAAAATTAACATTAACGAGGTATCAAAGGTTCCTTAATAAATTAAAGAAATGCCAGAGAGGGGCTGGAGTGATAGCACAGCCGGTAGGGCGTTTGCCGTGCACACAGCCGATCCGCGTTCAATTCCCAGCATCCTATATGGCCCCCTGAGCACTGCCAGGACTAATTCATGAGTGCAGAGCAAGGAGCAACCCCTGTGCATCACCGGGTGTGACCCGAAAAATAAAGCAAAAAAAAAAAAAAAAAAAGGAATGCCAGAGAGATAGTACAGCAAATAAGGTGCTTGTAAACTGCTGGCCAATGTTCAAATCCCCAGTACCACATAGAGTCTATCAAGCACTGCCAGAGATCACTTACGAGCACACTGCCAGGAATAGCCTCTTACCACTGCCAAAATCCTAAAGATATAAATTCATTCTCAGTGTCTTATTTAAAAGTGGCAATTTTATACTTTGTAAAATACCATCAAAAGTTTTATGGTGGTAATTTTAGATCAATATTAGAAAGATCTTAAGTCTATGACCCCTTGTGAAAACCAAGAAAGCCAGTAAAAGCTCAGCAACTTGTCCAAGAGGAACAAACTCCTTAATAATAAATGCCCTCAGTTGCTTCAAGATAGTGCTGATGTTACAAAGATTCTAATTCACATATACAAGTTCATTATTATTTCTGACATTTTAGCTCACTTTCTTTTGTCAATTTTGCTAAATAAAAATATTTTGGCAAATGTTAACTAAAATAATCCACAGAAATTACTTGTATAGGCACTTGGTACATATTTTTTTCTGAGTCAGTCACTCTACCTCAAAAAATTAATAGCTAACCTATGAACAATCAAGTAAATCACAATACAAATAAAAAACAAGTAAAATACAAGTAAAAATACAAAAATACAAAAAAATACACAATACAAGTAAAAAACAAGTAAAAATCACAATACAAGTAAAAAATACAAAAAAATCACTAATCAAGTAAAGCACAATACAAATATTAAGGAATTTAGTTTGTCAAACTTTACAGAAAGGAAAACAAGATTTTAGACCTTAATAAATAAGCAATGCTTGTTTGCAAAGAGGTATTTATGAAATGACTATTTTCTAACTTCAAAAAAGCAGAAAGCGTCTTTTAAAAAAACTAACTTCCTTACTAAAATTTAGTCTATTAAAACAATTCTCAGTAAAATGACCAAATAGTATTTTACTGTTGTACTAACTAAATTATTCAGGTTCTTTTAAAAGCATGCATCCCCAATTTAAAAATCCATAATTATACTATGAAATAATTATCATAAAGTAGCTAAATACAGATCCCTGCTGATACATTTAAGTATATCCATTTTTAAGAAAGAACCTTCATAATCAAAGCACTTTTAAAGCCTACATTTTAGAAATCTAAAGATTGGCATTTCCTTTATACTAAGGTGAATAACAGAATAGAAAAAAAATAAATCATACTAAATTATTTACATGGAATTCTTATTTCATTTTTAAAAAACATTTAAAACAAAACTAAATAAAAACCAATTTTTACCTTTTCTGTATTGTAATATAAAGATTTCAAAGTAGTAAACAAGGGTGGACAGCCTTTAGTGAAGTAAATCCTCAGGAATTTATCCATTAGTTCTCTAAATTTTTCACCTAGAAACAAAAGTGATTTTATTATATTTCAATTGATGAAAACACTCTTAAAAATTATAAAATTGCCTCATAAATAATTACCTCTATATTCAATTTTTATTACCACCATAAAGCATAATAGCAAATATAAAAGTATTTTCCCTAGATCTAAGTTCAAAATATCTTTGAGGAACATTTCAAATGATAGGTAAACAAAACAATTATGGGGTTTTAGGTAGAGTAACTGAATAACCCACATTCCATTCAGATTACAGACCCTATAACAAGTTTCTTTTTCACTAAACAGTATAAACCATGCAGTTATCTGCAGACAATTCATAAAGAACACTGCAAACTATAAAAATTTTACTGTAACCAGGACTATACTCAAATAGCCATCAAAATAGTTAAAATACTAAAACAATTAAAGACTGACTTCAACAGTCCTTCATTGCACTATCATATATAAAACAACTACTGTGTACCAGACACTGATCAAAGTATGGGGGATATAACAGACTGAAATTGTTTTCCAATTCTGCCCTCGTGAATATAAACATTCCACTGGTTTACACTGACAATAAGTAATATAAATGTATATCAAACATTAGTCTATGCCATGAAACAACTGATGTATGAATTAAAACAATCATCTGCTTCCAACATCAGGTAAATCATCCTCTACTATTGCTAAACCTTTAACAGAAACTTAAGTATTACTTTCTGAAAGTAAAATAAAAGGAAAATATTTTTCTTTTAAATATGTGTTTTATATTCAGATATTTAATGTATAAAAACATCAATTTAGGGGTTGAGAGAGTACAGTGGGATAAGGCACTTGCGTTACACATGACCAACTTAGGTTCGATCCTTGGCACCCCATATGGTCTCCAAAGACCCGCTAAGAGTGATACCTAGTACAGAGCCAGGAGTAAGCTACGCACAGCTGGGTGCAGTGCAAAATCAAAGACCCCATCAATTTTGCCACTCTTTTTTAAAAGACACAGAATGAAAAAATAAGCCGAAAGTAACACTATTAAAGTAAGATATTTTTTTTTACCAAGACAACACAAATAAACCTTAACAACACAAAGTGTTTATTTTGTTGAGACTGACAGTGCTAAGCTATGTACTCAACATAGCCAGATGTTATAAAAACTTGAAAAAGGAATTCAAGTTTTGTTGGGAAAGGAAACATTAAATTATAAAAATAGGTTCAACATTAGATTAACTATGGAGTCTGTTTTCAAATAATTTCTACTCTTATTAGATCACATACAAACTACTTGGCTTTCAAAAATCAGACACCATTGCAACCGTTTGTTGGTAATACTCCACTCTGAGTTAAAGAGGTGAAATTGCCCTTAAAAATGAGAAGCAGTGGGGTTGGAGCGATAGCACAGTGGGTAGGGCGTTTTGCCTTGCACGCAGCTGATCCGAGTTCGATTCCCAGCATCTCCCCAAGCACCGCCAGGAGTAAATCCTGAGAGCATGAGCCAGGAGTAAAGCCCTGTGCAACGCCAGGTGTGACCCAGAAAGGGGAAAAAAAAAAAAAAGTAGTTTCAAAAATCAAATATTTCCACCAACACTTGCTGATATACTACATCTACTAAGAATATGAGGGCCAGAGAAATTAGGTCCTTGCCTTGCATGTGACTAACTCTGACACTGCATATGGTGCCCCCGGAACTGCCAGGATTGATTCCTGAGCACGCTGTGAGGAGAAAGTCCTAAATACAGTCAGTGAGGCTGAAAACAAAACAAAACAAACCTACAATATTGTGACAGACAGCAAGGGACACTGCTACTAAAGAGAAATATATTCCTCTATTTACTGTTACTCTACTAGGGCAAATTAGTTGACCACTAAGAACCTCACTTTCTCCACTCTTAAGATTAGGATCACAGTATCATCAGCCTCAAGAGTACTCTTACGTGGTTCAAATAAAATGGTAAGCGAAGAGCAATAAAGCAAAGTGGTTAGTACAGAGTAACCACTCAATAAACATTGTCTAAAAAATACCTTGAAAGGTGTCAGCTATTCTATTTCTAAAGTTAAGAATCTTTACCTAGGGACTGGAGGTAGATCGCTCAAAGGGCTGAAATATCACATGGTCTCCCAAGCATCCGTGGGATGGCAATGGTGGTCCCTGAAGGACCCTCTAGCACTAGACTCATCTTTTCTGGAGACAGCTTTAACAAGCTAGATAGAGCACATGCTGTGCACCAATCAAGTTCAATCAATTCCCTACACTGTACAAGTACCCCAAGCACTGTCAGGTGTGAACCCAAACATCCCCAAAATAACAATAATTTTTTCTATATTTACTATCATCACTGAAAAGACTAACATTTTATTATTTTTTCCTAGTTTATTTTGGGGTCATACCCAGCTATGCTCAGGGGCTTCTTCTTTCTGGCTCTATGCTCAGAAATTATTCCTGGCAATGCTGGGGAACCACATGGGATGCTAGGGGAGAGAAACCATGTCAGCTACGAAGTGCAAAGGAAACATATTTTTATGTCAGAAGCTACTCTGAATTCCACTGCATGATCAACTTTCTTAGCATATTTAAAAGGTAAAATACACAACCCTCAATTATCCATTTAAAGTTTCTATTCCCATTAAACTGTTAGTTAGGCTGCATGTGTAAGAGAGAATGAGGAAGCTCTTTACGTGCTGACAAGAGAATGCAATCCAGATGCAAAACTAGATGAAAAGAAAAGTTCAGTCTGTACTACTATTTTTTTACAAAGGCAGGGGGTAGGGGACGCACAACTATATAGAAACTACATTCACACACAGACAAACATTTGCTCGTACAAAGATTGTATTTTAGAAAAACACATCAGTTACAGGTATGGCTACCTATAAGCCTGGGGGCCAGGAGACACAGAAAATCTTTTACTTAGCAAGGAGGGAAGTCAGAAAAATTTTCTCAATGAACTGAGCACATGCTTCTCATGCAGAAAACCCAAGTTTAATCCCAGGAAGTAGTCCCCTAAGCACCTCCAGGAAGAGACCCCAAAGCATTCCCCCTCCTTTTTAATTGAATTACCCAGAGATAAAGTTGTTCATGACTGGCATTAGTCATACAATGTTTCAACATCAATTCCTTAAATGGTGTACATTTCTCGCCACCCCTGTCCTCAGTTTCCCTTCAGATACTATTCCCTAACAACCTGCCTCAATGGCACTTTTCTTTCTCTCCCCTTCTCCCCCCTAACCACTCACCTCCACCCCAATACCTTTTTCTTGCTTAACTGCTATGGTAAGTGCTTCCACAACTATACTGAACAGAAGTGGTGAGAGTGGGCAACCTTGTCTAGTGCTTTATCTTAGAGAGACAGTTTTTAGCTTTTTTCTATTGAGTATAATGTTTCTGTGGGCTTGTGGTAGGTGAATAGTTCTGACTATACTGAGGAAAGTCCCTTCAACTTTTATTTTGTTGAGTTTTTCTCATCATGAATAGGTGCTGGAGTTTGTCAAGGCTGAAACAATACTTGAAATTTTGAACCAAGGTTCAAGGGCTGGAGCAATAGCATAGCGGTAGGGCAGAGGAGAGACAGACTTTAAGAACAACACTGATTTCTTAGGAGAGTCCACATTTCATATGATCATGTGCTAAGAATAAAAATCTAAAACTTCGAAACTTCTACCACTTAACCCACAGTGCTCACAAATAACTCATCACCAATTCTAGGGAATTCTAAATGAGTTAATTTTTTTAAGGTCATGTATAATTTTATAAATGCATGTTTTGACAATTAAAACCATACACTGACACTATTAATATATGCATGGAAATTATATCACTCTCACCCAAGACTGGTGTAGATATAAAGCTCTTTAAAAGAACCCTCCTATTTTAAAACTGAATGGTGTTGAGTAATTTCCACTACTTTTACTAATTAAAAAAAAATCTTATTATTACCTGGGACAAGATTCAAAGGTAATCTTCTAGGTGAAATTGCTCTGGGGTGCTGCTTACTAATTTCTTCATAAACTTGAAGTCTCTCTTCTAAAGTGCCTATTATCAGTAAATATGTATAAGATTCAAAGCACCAAGACTTTTCCATACAACAGAATAAATTTTAAATGTTATAAAAATACGTTATCAGTATTAAAACTGTCCTCAACTTTAGAAAAATGATATTGAAAACTATGGTGATAAGTAAATTAATATTTTAAACCCAATGGCTAGAGAAATGCAAAACAACCTTTATCACAAGATTCTAAAAACTCAAATCATACAGATATAACAGATTCAACAAAAACTACTCATATTTTTGAGCATAATTCATGAACAAGAAAACGTTCCATTAATAAAATATCTTACATAAATATTCTAACACACATTCCATAAGTATAATGATGCTTACTGATTAGACGTAAAAAAAAAATAGTAAGTTTTAAGATAATGCGATTTTTAAAAATTCTGTTCATGGCCCACATCCAGCGATACTCAGGGATATGTATACTCCTGGCCCCCCATTCAGGAGCTACTCCTCGTAGCATAGGGGATCATATTGGGTGCCAGGTACTGAACCTGGTTCAGCAATGCATAAGGCAAGCACCCTACTGGCTGTGCTCTCAAGCCCCCAAAATGCAAATATGGCTCAGATGTCAAGTGTATGTTTTTCATGCATGTGACTTGGTTCAATCCCCAGTACACACATACACATGTACACACGCACACACACACACACATACACATTACACACAAGTATAAAAAGAATACAAATGTTTTTTATATAAAAAGATGAGCCGGGGGGGCCAAAGAGAGAGCTCAAGGGGTTGAACGTGTTCTGTCTGATAAAAGGCCTGGGTTCACTCATTGACACTGCATGATCTGTCTCCCCAAGGCAGAATAAGAAGTAGTCCCAGTACTGCCCGGGAGGGTGTGGGGGAGACTGTGAGATAGAACAAAAATAAAAGATTAACTGGAGCTGGAAAGATAGTTCAATGGGCTGAGTGATATAGGAGGCCTTAGGTTAGATCCTTAACAATGCATGATACCCTGAGTGGCCAAAAAATAAAAATAAATATTCAATAAGAATTTTTGTTACTAATAATCTAACTAAATGGAAAATTCTAACATATACTAACAAACTTTTATCTTTCCTCCTAAGACCAATCTAACTTTGTAGTATTTAATAGAGGACGCATAATAAACTACAAGTTAGTTCACAATGATTCATAAAGTAGGATTTGGACCTATTTCATTACTCTTAAATAACATTCCGTAGAAATTTAAGAAAAAGCAAACAACCTGTTTTAAAATTTTATCATTTTAGTAATTCAGATCACAAAAAGAAAAACTACTTTAAGAATAACCCTCGGTATAGTAACAATCTCCATAATAAATGCAGTACTCTAGTCAAGATCATAAACAGCACTTTGAAAGATAAAGTCTGATTTTGTTTAGACTCTTTCCTTCCCCCAAAAATATGTTTTGGAGCTCCAATGTGGCTAGGTTTTAAAAAACTGGCATATGTGAAAACTTTCACATTCTGGTCATTTGGAGATTTCAAAAAATATCAAGGACCCTTATACTAAAATTTACATGAAAGTTTATTATTTTTAAAAAACTGTTCTCATAATTATGCTTATTTTAGAGAATAAGAATATATTAAAAAAGAAAAAATCTACTGCTCCAGATACAACAAATCTTATAAAAATGTAGTCAACACTAAAACAAACAAAACCATTTCAATGCCCTATTTGAAGTCACAAGTTGGAGCTCCAGAACTTACCATATGGGGGAGAAAAGGTCCTAAGAAACCTAAAAAGATAAAGTAATGCAATTAGTTTCATAATCAACACAATGTACAATAAGCATGGATCCTGACATATGGAATATATTACATTCACTTTAGTACGGCAACTGCCTTACTACATGTAACTGATGTAACTACATGCTACACAAGTAAAAACACTTATTTCAGGCTTCCAACCCTAACACCCTAACTCTGGTGCTGCCATCTGTGTTCTTGCCATCTGGTACCTTCATTAATATTGCTCTGCTCTGTCAGATGGTGCCACACCAAACTGTAATATAAAATTTTGGCAACAATAATCATTTCTTTGATAAAATCTATCCAATATGACATCCAATCTGAGCCACCAACAGTACGCACCAGGCATCAACGTGTTAAGGTATGTGACTTCTTTTTCTCTTTTTAAAGTTCTTTTGATCTAATCAATGTTTCCATTTTCATCATTTTCTTAAGAAAGGGACAGGGAAATAGTCCAAGGCTGGGTGGTGGCTAAGCACCACATTATCCCTTAAGCACTGCCTAGAGCAATCCCTTAGCATCAAACTAGAAGTAGCACTGCCAAGCATGGCCCACAAACAAGAAAAAATTAAAACTGTCTGGGACCAGAGACAGAAGCAACTCAGGTATGATCTCCAGCATCCCATATGGTCCTCCGAGCACAGCTAGGAGTGAGAAACTCCTGAGTGCAGAGTTAAGAATAACCACTGATCATTGCCAGGGGCTGGCTCAGAAACAAAAGCAACAACAACAACAAAATAATTTGCATACAAATAGAACTTGGATTAATTTACAAAATGATTAAGAAGCAACACACTTTTCTCATATCTGTTACTTCTATAAATATCATTTAGTTACCTTGATAAAATACTTTTTAATTTTTTTAATTCGCTGTTTTTAACTACAATACCTTAAATCGTAGTTTCATGGTTACCTGACCCATATATTTATCCATGAGTAAATATGATTTTAGGAATGTTAACCCTTTCAATACTTAATTATGAAAATATCAGGGAATTTTGGAAATTCTAGATTTGCTCTACACATTTTAACCCTGTTTAACATTAAGAGAATAATATTTATGATGATGCTAGAATACTATGTAAACACAGCAAACTTTCTTTGCCTCAAATCTCTATTTAGAAGTTGAGAGTATCAAACCTCATTATTTAGGGGGGGTGGGGAGACCTCCACAACAGTACTATGTTGCACAAAGCCATCAGGCTGATATGCGGTTGTGCTCAGAGTTTGTACTCCATCTCTTAAGAAATCTTGCCAGAGAGATAGCGGTGCAGTGAGAAGGGAGGGAGGGAGGGAGGGAGGGAGGGAAGGAGGGAGGGAGGGAGGGAGGAAGGAAGGGAAGGAGGGAGAAAGAAAATTTGGCAGTCCGCAGACTTGTAATTGTTTACAACTGTTAATAAAGTGGTGGGGACACTACTCACACAGCTCCCCAAGCACCATTTGAGAACCACCCCTGGGCACCAGGAGTAGCCTCCGAACAATACTGGTGTGACCCAAATCCAAAAAATTTAAGTAAACTAAAATATTAAATACTGTAACATTTCCCAGAAAATAAATGCTCATTTTCATCCCTTTCTCTGCAGTATAAACATCTAAATGAGTCAAGGAACCAAAAATTCCTTACCACAAAGTAAAAATATTTAAATTATTTTTCGTGTTCACCAACAATTTTCATAAATGTAGATTAGTAACAAAATCGTCTTTCAATTATTATTACAACTTTACATTTTATGATAATTTAAGCATTAGTTAAGAAAAGGTAATGTAGGAGAAGATTACATACTAAGTTGCAGAGCTTTTTCCAGACCTTCGTAATAAGACCAATTTTCTGCATTCCGATCAATCAAGTTCTTGAATACTTCACTGGCCTCTTTAAGTCTTCCCAACTTCAACAACATTTCTCCTGCAATTACGTTTAAAATCACATTCATTTTACTTTAATATTAAATGCCTTTGTGACTGCATATTCACAAAGCATTAGCAGCCTTAACAGGTAATGAAAGAACCATGAGACCCATTGTAATTACTGACCCATTCAAGACCCTGAACGATCGGTTTGAGGCTCTTCGTGTTCCTAGAACAAACAGACGCCATTGGGCTACACTAGCACGCGACAGGGACAAATGGAGACGTTACTGGCGCCCGCTCGAGCAAATCGATGATTAACAGGGAAGTCAAGTGATCAAGTGAAAGAACCATATATGCTTCACAGTGGGGCATATTACATAGTTTGCGTAAGTAAACAGAAATTCAGTTTGCCTTCAGAAAAAAACTTTGTTTATAACAAAGTCTTCTACACTAATACTCAATTTCTACTTCCTCTCACAGATCAAATATGTATAAAGTGATCATGTGGGGCACAGGGGATCAAACGTGGGTCCGCCTTGTGCAAGGCAAGAGCCCCTCTCACTGTACTATCTCTTAAGTCCTCTTCCAGGCAATTTTCTGACAACTAAGCAGATACAGTGCTCAAGAGATTATGTGGTACAAGGAACTGAACGAGCATGCAGCCAACCCTGATTTTAATCTGGTTAGCCCCTAGCATCAGTAGGCATGATCCCTGAGCAGGTGTGATCTACCCCACCCCTCCCCCAAATAAAGTAAAGTCTATTTAAATTGTTGTTTTTTTTCTTTTTTGGGTCACACCCAGCGATGCACAGGGTTACTCTTGGTTCTGCACTCAGAAATTACTCCTGGCAATGCTCAAGGGACCATATGGGATGCTGGGAAACGGACCTGGGTCGGACACATGCAAGGCAAATGCCCTACCCGCTGTGCTATTGCTCCAGCCCCTAAATTGGTTTTTAAACAGGAAATTCATTCACAGGCTAGAGATGGAATTCAACAGTACAGCACTTGCCTTGCATATGTGAGACCATTGAGTTCTATCCACAGCATTGCAAGAAAGGTTTAGAGATCAACTCTAGTATCTAAAAGTTTAAGAAACTTTGAGCCAAGTCTCAAAAGCTTTCATTTCCTCCATTCTTAAACTGCCAAAAAAATTAATGAAAATAACACCGATTTAGAATTATGCCATACTACCAAATATACGAAGTGTTAGCTATTGTTTATTATGCTTTGTAAATCTAGCATCTATATGAAATTTAAATTTTAAATAACTTTAATTGCAATCGAGCATTCTAGTAACAGTATGCTCGGGGAATGGATAACTAATGAATGATCAAAGCTTCATCAACATGAATATTTGAACCAGAAGATAGTACAGTGGCTAAGGAACTTGCCTTTCACAGAGCAAATGTCATTTCAATCCCGAGCACCACATATGGTTCTCCAAACCCCACCAGGAGTGTTAAGCCCTGACAGGTGTAGATCAAAAACAAAAACTAAAATCAATGTACCTGGAGGCTAAAGAGATAGCCCAAAATAAAAATACATGGCCTGGTAATACCCTTGACTATTAACTGTATTTAACTACATTCAGAGATGTACTATATCTCTGGTTCACACAAGTTTTACCGTAATGCTAAAACAAAATAAATTATTTTTGTTCTTTTGTGGCCATTAAAAAGGCATCTCAACTTACCTTTAATTTCTTCTACTAAAAGCTTATCACATATTTGTTTCTCATATGTTTCTATATGTTCCAAAGATTCCTGAAATAGCTCTGCCTCTCGCATCACCTGATTCTGGTATAATATCAGTTCACTATATTCATAGTCTATTTTATTCGGGGGAACCTAGTGGGGGGGGGAAATGACAAAATCAGTTCATTTATATAATTAATTGCATAAACAGTTACAGACCTTGATACACTTCACAAGCAAGGAGTGAGCTATGGCAGAGTTGTAAACTGCTTGGCTGAGTACTGAACAAATAAAACAACACACACTTTCACAAAGAGAATCAATAAAATCACAAGCTGGATCTCTTAAAAAAAAATGACAAACCTTTAATTAAGAATCACCAAGAGGCCGGGGCAATAGTACAGCGGGTATGGCAGTTGCCTTGCATGCAGCCAACCCAGGTTCGATCCCTGGCACCCCATATGGTCCACCAAGCCCTGCCAGGAGTGATACCTGAGCAGAGAGTCAAGAGTAAGCAAAGAGGAACATTGCCAGACCCCAAAGCTCATACGCCGATTATGAAAAGCTGTATACTTTTAAAAGTATACTTCTATTAGTCAAATAGACGAATTCTTAGGGAAATTCAGTCTATTAAAATTAATTTAAAAATAAAAAATATAAACAGACCAATAGCAAACAGAGAATTAACAATATCTCATAAACACTCAGATAAACTTCTTCACATCCAGAAGATTAGAAAACTAATAAATTTGAAAGCATTCCCAATTATTTAAAAAAAATTTTTTTCAAAATTTTCAGTCTCAAAGACTTTACTTCTTATGTGGGAATAGGAGTAATGAGGAAGTCAACTGTTTGAGTGAAAATTAAAAAAATGTTAAATGAGGTCCTTACTTGCTGAGTTTGTCTAAATTCTTCCAATAGTTTTAGTGCCATATCATAATCCTTCAGCAAATGGTATGCAATAGCATATCCAATCCAGGAAGCACGTTGTGTTGGGCGTAACTGAAGAAGCTGATATCTTGTCTCCTTAAAAAAAAAAAAAATCTTTTTGTAGATCACGGTATATTTGATGAAAATTAAGAAAAGGAAACAATCTTAAATTTTTACTTTCTAAACTTCTTTTACTTTTCAACTTTCTCTAAAATATTCACATTTAATATGTTTTAAGAGGGCTGGAGCAATAGGGCTTGCATGCAGCCAGCCCAGCAGAGCTGGGTTCGATTCCTCCTCCCCTCTCGGAGAGCCCGGCAAGCTACCGAGAGTGTCTCCCCCCACACGGCAAAGCCTGCCAAGCTACCTGTGAGGTAGTAAAAAGTCTCATAATGTTACTGGGCCCGCTCCAAATTGATGAACAATGGGAGGACAGTGATACAGTGATGAAATGAGTTTCTTCTAGTAACTATAGACCTTACAAGAGAGACTTAAATTGTTTCAATAAATTAATTTTGTTATTTATAAATCATGAAATAACAATGAACACTGTTACAGTTAGTCCCAGACAAGGAGTACACACCCTGCTTGGGGAAACTCTCAAACTTGACTGGAAATAACACTGCTGTTGCTTTAAGACAGTTCAACACTGGAGCTGGAGCGATAGTACATGGCCTATCTGTGTCCAATTCCCAGCATCCCATACAGTCCCCCACCACCACCAGAAATAATTCCTGAGTGCAGAGCCAGGAGTAACCCCTGGGAATCGCTGGGTGTGATCCAAAAAGAAAAAAAAAAAAGACAGTTCAACATTAATGGCATTTAGGGATAATCATCAGGAACTCTCATGATTATCCCAGAAGAATCAAGATAACCTTTCTAAATACAAAAATAGTCTCCACCATAGTTCCTATCTGCACCAAAGTTCTAAGCAAGTGCAAATGCTTGGAGGAACAGTGTCTTATGAAGAGCATAGCAGCCAAGACATTTTTAAAATGTAATCTTTTGTTTTCATGAGTCTATTGTTGGCATGGGAGTTTAGCTAAATGAGTCACTTCAAACTATATGCCACAAGGACTAACATATCCAGATCTTTTTTTACTTAAAAGGATTTTTGAAGATCTTCGTCAGAACAACTTGGACAGTATCACCTCTCTATCCCCATGTAAACCTCCTGGCTTTTAGCTGTGTAAGATTAAACTCTACCACTCTCAACCCAAATTTTCATTGCTGTTTCTGTCACTCCCATATTCATTAAAATCAAAATCAAAATCTGTATCTTCTTGGTTTTCTCTTCTCTGCCAAATCTTGCAATCATCCGTGGAAAATTCAATAGTATAGATGACATCCAAGAACCATGGATCCAAAATTATCTTATCTTTAAGCATTTCCTTCTTCCTAATTCAGGAACCCACTTCAAACCATAGCATCAGTCCAGAAATCATAAATTTAGTCATCTCATTTGCTGGTACTTACTCTTCTGCTGATAATTCTAAGCAATATTCTTACCCTATTTTTAAAAAACATCATTAAAAGGTTCTTTTAATTCTACCTCTTTTAATCCTACCATCTTTTTTTTCTTTTGCCTTTTTTGGGTCACACCCGGCGATGCACAGGAGTTACTCCTGGTTCATGCACTCAGGAATTACTCCTGGTTCATGCACTCAGGAATTACTCCTGGTTCATGCACTCAGGAATTACTCCTGGCAGTGCTCGGGGGACCATATGGGATGCTGGGACTCGAACCTGGGTCGGCCGTGTGCAAGGCAAACGCCCTACCCGCTGTGCTATTGCTCCAGCCCCCCATTTGCTCTTTTTATCTTAAATTATTTCACTATCCATCTTAGCAATCCACTCTTTTACAAATATTCTTCTTTACTCCATCTTAAAATGGCTGGCTTTAATTCCCACAATATGCATGTTGCCAAATACCGATTAAGTAAAATCATTAAGACAGGAGAGATTATTAAGCTCAACAAAACCCTTAAATTTTGTATATATTGGTTTTGGGGGTCACGCCTGGCGATGCTCAGAACATGTCTTGGCTCTGCATCAGGGACCACTCAAAGGCAAGCTTGACCAACCATATGGGGCGCTGGCGATCAAACCCGGGTTAGCTGGTGCAAAGTCAGTCTCCTACCTGCCCCAGAACCCTTAAAATTTGTGCACAAATCTAGGTATAAAAACTTATACAACAGTAGAAAGCTAAAGTTAATGTAAAGATTTACTTAAAGAGAAATACTTGAAAATTGATGGTCTCCTTGAAAGAGTTAAGTAGAAATCATCTACCTTACAGGCATCGGGAGGGTTGGGGGGAGGGGGGTATATTTGGGTTCTTGGTGGTGAAAAATAATTACTGGTGAGGGGAGGGGTGTTTGATCATTGTATGACTGAGACTTAAACCTGAAAGCTTTGTAACTTTTCTCAAGGTGTTTCAATAAATAAATTTTTAAAAAAAAGAATTGATGGTCTCCTTAAACTAAGTAAGAAAACTTTATTTTATGTATATTAAACCCAGAATACTAAGCATAATAAGCACAGAGAGATAGCCAGCACAGTTGAAAATCTGTTTGAAGAGGCATGGACTACAGGAAGATTGCTTTATTGCAAATGCTCACATTTTATTTACTAAACTGTAATAAAAAAAACCCCTAATGTCCATATTTTGATTTCAATTATAAAAACTGTTTACCAAATTTATGTCAAGTCCAAAAAAGAATGTAACAGCATTTTTTTTTCTTTTTGAGTCACACCTGGTGATGCACATGGGTTTCTCCTGGCTCTGCACTCAGGAATTACTTGTGGTAGTACTTGGGGGACCATATGGGATGCTGGGGATCAAACCCATGTAGGTCGCAAGCAAGGCAAAACGTCCTACCCGCTGTACTATAGCTCCAGCCCCACAGCACATCATTTAAACATAGAAAACATTCTAGTTTTTTAACAGCATGAAATAAGCAATAATTATAATTTTCTGATGACCAGCATGCAGTTCTACAGTTGATTTCAGGGAGGAAGGTTCTAAGAAACTTTCTCTTCTACAGCCAACCATAATGAATAACACCAAGTCTATTTGCACAGGCTTGGGGTTGGAGAAACAGTAGAATAAAGGTGCTTGCCATGACTGCAGTCAAACCAGAGTTTGATAGCCAGAACCTCAAATGGTCCCCAGATACCTGCCAGAAGTGATCCCTGAACACAAAGGAGTAAACCTTGAGCACAGCTGGGTGTGGTCCCCCCAAAAATAAAGCCCGCATGATCTTGGCTTATAATCTCATTCTGATTCACAAACTTTTAAATTATATACATTGTAAAAATATGTACCTTTATAAATGAAGTACTTACTCTGTAACCTTCAAGATCTCTCATTTGGATCTGCAATAGAGAGAGATCTCTCAAAATTTGCAGATTATCTTTGTCTAATTTGAGGGCATTTCGGTAACACTTAATAGCTTCATCATACTTCTTATCAGAACGCTGCAAGAGTCCATATACATGCCAACCTATTAAGTTAAGGAAATGAAGACATTCACAGCTACTAGAATGTGCTAGGTATTTAATATAAAGCTTACCTTAATGAAATGGTATTTTGTTTAGGAATTACTTCATAATCTGGAGTCAGAGGAAGAGGAACGGAGAACATGTATGGAAGGTAAAAATGAAACCAGATCATCTTCGACTGACAACTATTAAATTGCTGTGTTGGAAAACGGACACATAGTGCTTCACTGTTGTAGACTCACCTAGCTTTGTTATAAATTTTTCCCAAAAAATTTAAAGAAAAAAAACTTCCAAATAGGGGAGAGAGACAGTACTAGAGATAGTACAGCAGGTAAGGCACTTGCCTTCAACAGTTGAATTAGATCCCTGGCTTATCCCCACCCTCACCAAAGTCCTGCCAGGAGTGTTCCCCTGGGTGCAGAGCCAGAAGAAAGCCCTGAGGACAGCCAGGTGTGGCCCCCAAACAAAAATATGCAAGTAAAACAATTTTTCAAAGTATTCTTAGAAAACTCTAAAAGTTCTTCATATGCTCTACCTTCTATCCCCTCATTTTCCTACCACAGCATCAATATTTATTACTTCTTCACCACTATGTAAAGAAAAATAGTTATACATGTTATATATATATATATATGTATAAGCCGCAATTATCTTTTTAAGCAAGTTTATATTCAATCTATAAGAACATGTATCCATAAATTACTGCTGATAGTAAAGATGACAACAAAATAAGATTTTTATTTATTGTAAATTAAAAGACTTGGCATATCTTGGAACCAAAAGAACTAAATACTTAGATGCCCTTTCTCTTCACTCTGGTATAAGCACTGGGATTAAAAAAAAAGTAAGTATTTAGTATTTTGAGAGAACCCTAGCCAACTATGTGAAAACAAAAGATTGCTCGTGTTCAATACTTGTCAATGACTTAAATGTAAAAAAAACTAAGATATAAGAGTAATGTGCTAAAAAAAATGAAACACATAGAAAGGCAGAAGAGAAACGAAGAACAATTTCAATAATTCATCCTTTAAAAATACTGGGAGGAGGAGCATGTATAAGAAAAAAATAAATGGTCCCAAGTCATAAATAAGTTACCCAAGTTACTTTTCTCTAACATTCAATTAAGTACATATATATTTTATATATAGAATCTTTAAGATACTTCAGTAAACAAGACAGGGATAAGGAACAAAAGAAATGCTACAAAATATTAACTAGTATTGAGTTAAAACATTCTCTTCTATGCAATTTTGAGTTTTACTTGAATACGAAAAACCTAGTAAATGGAAAATGCACAAATGAAATCAAGCTATTAAACTAGAGCAAAAGGATACAGACATGACTCTTGACATCATTACGAAGTCCTTTACGAACAAATTCATAAGCTTCTTCTTTTTTTCCTAAACAGTTCAATGTTAATCCTTTCATAGCCAAAGTCTCTGAAAAATATTTTAACCTCTATTTACACAAAAAGTATTCAAACTATTCTTTTAGCACTGTTTTAGTATCTGAGGTCTAATAATGCTTAAGTGATTCACCTTTTTTTTTAACCCCACAGAGAGAACTTCTCTTTATTTTTTTTTTTAATTTTTATTAGTGAGACACCATGAGGTACAGTTGTAGACTTACAAATTTTTGTGCTTGGGTTTCAGTTATACAATGATCAAATACCCATCCCTCCACCAGTGTCCATTTCCCACCACCATGATCCCAGTATCCCTCCCACTCCCATCCCACCCTGCCTCTGTGGCAGGGCATTCCCTTTTGTTCTCTCTCTCCTTTTAGGTGTTGTGGTTTGTAAAAGAGGCATTGAGTGGCAATCATGTTTGGTCTATAGTCTACTTTCATCATGCTTCTCCCATCCTGGGAGGATCCTCCCAACACCCTTTATTTGGTGCTCCCTTCTCTATCTGAGCTGCCCTTTCCCCTAGCATGTGTGGCTGGCCTCCAAGCCATAGAGCAAAATTCCTGGTACTAATCTCGGCCATTCTTGGGTGTTAGTCTCCTATTTTGTTACTTTATGTTCCCCAGATGAATGCACTCTTTCTATGTCTATTCCTCTCTGACTCATTTCGCTTAACATGATACTTTCCACGTAGTACCACTTGTATGTAAATATAGAACTTCTCTTTAAATACAAAAAGTAAAAATACATTCAATTATTTGCTAAAGCTTAGTCAAGTCCTTTCCTCAAATTCCTTAGGCTGGGAATGATTTAATCCTCTGTCCCTTGGAAGACTCGTAAGGAGGCTGAGATGAGAAAGAAAGGAAAGAAAGGAAAGAAAAAAAGAGAGAAAGAGAGGGAGGGAAGGAAGGAGGGAAGGAAGGGAAAAAAGGAACAGCATTTCTTGGTAGGCACTTAACACAGATATACTAATTTTAAAATCACCTTCATCAAAACAGGTTTCTCCTGCTATCCAAAATTAAAATATTTAATGGGCTAGATAGTACAGTGGGTAAGGTGCTTGCCTTGATGCCTTGAATGCGTCTGACCCGGGTTTGGTCCCCAGCATCCCATATGGCTCCCATGCACTGCCAGTAGTAATTCCTGGGTGCAGAGCCACCTCTGAGCATCGGCAGGTATAACCCAGAAACAACAAACAAAATAGAAATATTCTTATCTGGCATAATTTATTGGGTTATCTTTTTAGGCTCACTATCAACATAAATTTATATGAAAAGAAACTTTTTGGTGTTCCCAGATGCAAAAAATAAAGTATTAAATCATGCCAGGTGGGGGAATAGACATTTTAGGGTAGAGGGAGGGTGCTGATTTTGGTTTCTGGGTCACACCTGGAGGATTTAGGGTTCACCCTGGCTCTGTAGTCAGGGAATCACTCCTGGAAGTGCTCAGCAGACCTTCTGTGGTAACAAGAGATTGAATCCAGGTCATTCATAAGCACGGCAAGCACCCAACTTGCTACACTATCTCTCCAGTCCCAAGAGCTTTTTATCATTACATTTATTCCAACTACTTCAAATTAAACTAACATCTGTTTACATTTCAGAAGGCATAGCAAGGTAAGAATACGTTAAAGTAGTTAACAAAAAATAATTTGAAATGAAATAATTCAGGGGCTGGAGAGCTAGTGAAGAAACAATTTAAGGTGCTGTGCACAGAAGTCAAGACTTGTCTGAATCCCTGACCTCATATATGATCCCCTAATGTCTCGCTACAGAACAATGTATTATTGTATTTTCTCATTACTGCTGTTTACTATACGCATTGTCATAATTCCACCCCTAGAAAATCAGAGTAAACTTCAGTTCTATGAATTCTGATCTAGGGTAAACCTCATCTATTGTCCCTGATAAACCAACCACTTCCTGTCTAAAAGCAAAAACTGTACACACAACTAAAGTAACATAGAATGAAACTTAAATGAGGCATAAATAAATACGCTGAAGGCCTGAGAGATAGCTAAATGGATTAAACATTCTTCACACATAGGAGATTAGCATGTAGTTCTTGGCAATCAATTCTCAGACCAATCTGGAACAAACGGCAAGAACAAAGTCAGGAGCAGCCCCTAAGCTTCACCAGATATGATCCAAAAATAAAGCCAAAACATTGAATACTTGTAACACTATGGAATCTAAAAAATATTGCTTTCACTTTTTGGTGGGGGAGGGGCTTCTTTTTGGTTTGGGGGCCACACCTAGTGGTGCACAGGGCTTATTTCTGGCTCTGCACTCAGGGACCACTACTGGCAGGCCTCAGGAGACTGTATGTGATACTGGAGTCTGGACGTATGTCATGAAAGGAAAATGCCCTACCCACAGTACTATCACTCTGGCCCCTACACTTTCACTATTAAGAATCCTGTTTTGTTAGATTTCACAATTTTCTCATAGATTAGACAATACCTCCATGTTCAGCAAATTTTGGGTTTGAAAGAATCATCTTGCAAAACTTGAGGCCATTTTTGTATTGCTTCTGTTCGTAACATTTCTGTAAAGAAATAAAAAATTATGAAATTAATATACAAGGAACAGATTTTTACTATATTATTTAAATTCTAAACTCAAGATCCAAAATTAGGTATAAAACATGTGAAAGAGGTTCAGAGAGACAGTACAGGGAATAACCTTGCATGTGGCCAACCCCAGTTTAAAAGTGCCAGTTTAATCTTGGCAATGCATGTGGAAACCACAGCTAAGTGTAGCCTGAACTCTTCCTCTCAAAAAATAATTACAATACATGCGCACACGCGCACGCGCGCATGCACATACACACACGCACACGCACGCACACACACACAGAAAGAGATAGGTAAGATGATAGATATTGGTTTTTGGATCACATCCAGCTTACTTCTAGCTCTGCACTCAAATAACAACCATCAATCCTGGCAGGACTCAGAAAACCATACCGAGTGCGAGGAATCTAACCCAGGTTGGCAATACACAAGGCAAGATAAGTACCCTAACCCATTGTATCGCTTCATTCCCCACCATTCTTTTCTTATAATGAGACTTTTTAAGATCTACTCTCAACTTTAAACATGCAATTCAGTATTAGTTTCTATTCTGTACTAAATTAATTAAGGCTTTTGGTTGACTCTAAAGAAGAGACTTTGATGTTTGGGAGACAAGAATCATCATGCTATGAAGCCAAAGCCCAAGTGTGTGATGGACACCCCCAGATTCCTGGAGACTCTCAATCCCCTCCTTCTATTTGGTGCTGGGGATTGAACCCAGGGCCTCACACATGCAAGGCAAGGCCTCTCTTTTTATAGTATGACAGCTTAGGTAACATAGCTAAAACAGTATTAACCCTTATGGTTTTAATAAACAAAGTAACTGTACCAGCACCACTACAAAGACCCTCCAACTACTGTATATATGTATATGTGTGTGTATACGTGTGTGTGTGTGTGTGTGTGCGTGTGTGTGTGTCACCTCTAGCCCAACTAGTTCTTTCGTCCTCCTCTCTCTGTAGCCACTGCTTGGTACTCTTGAAAGCAGAGGCCAAGAGTTTGTCCTCATTTAATACCATATCTTTTCTTATCTTGTTTATCAATATGCCACAGATTTGAGGTTAGCCAGTATTTGTTACTCTACAATGTAACTTCACTGAACATGATACTCACTGGTTGTATTCAAGTTGCAGCAAACCGCATGATCTTATCTTTTCTAACAGCTGCATTCGATTGCATTTGTATATACATACCACAACATCTTTACCCAATCATATTACTAAATATTTGGGTTCTCTCCATACCCTAGATACTGCATCTACTATTGCAATAAACACAGATGTTCATATATCTTTTCTAGTTAATAATTTTGCATATTTGGACAGAAGCCAAGAATTGGGACCTCAGGGTCATAAGGAAATTTTTCCTAAAGAAATTTCCACAATGGGGCTGGAGCGATAGCAGAGCGCGTAGGACATTTGCCTTACACGTGGCTGACCCAGGTTCGAATCCCAGCATCCCATACGGTCCCCTGAGCACCGCCAGGAGTAATTCCTGAGTGCATGAGCCAGGTAACCCCATGCATCGCCGAGTGTGACCCCAAAAACAGAAAGAAAAAAAAAATTTCCACAATGTTGTAGGATGTCTTTTGGGGGGAAGAATGGGAGAGGTTGGGGTGCTTAGGTCTTATGCCTGGCTCTGTGCTCATTCTGGTACGCTAGGGGGACTATCTGGGTGCCAGGAATCAAATCCAGGTCAGTTTTCTGCGAAGCAAGCACCCAACATGATGTACAATCACTCTAGCCCCTCCACAATGTTTTTCACAGAGGCTAAGCCAGACAACATGATAATCAACAGTACAAAGAGGGTTTTTCACCACGTTCCAGTAAACACTGGTTGTTTCCTATCTTGACATATGCCATTCTCTAGTGTGAGGTATCTCAGGATCATATTTGATTTACATTTCCCTGATAAGCGACTCTAAACACTTTTTCCTATGTCTACTGGTCATCTGCACATTCTCTTCATCTTCATCTTCTCTCCCCATTTTTAATGAGATTTATTGGTTTCTTTGTTGTTGAATTTTGTGAGTACTTATATATCTTACTTTTTGCTTTTGGTCTAGACCTGGTGGTGCTCAGTGCTTACTCCTGAATTTGCAATCAGAGACCACTCTTTGTGGTACTCAAGGGATTATATAGGGTGCCAAATAGGAAATCCGGTTGGCCATGAGCAAGACAAGCACTGTACTATCACACTGGAGTCTTATTATCTTGACTTTTTAAATTTCATTTTCATGATTAAGCAACTGTGTACTAACTGAAGTGGAAATGAAGTTGTACAAAGTTCTAGCACCCATCCCTTCACACATCCCTAGTTTACCTCCCACCCCAAAGCCTGCCTCGATGGCAGACACTTTTCTTTTTTCCTTTTAGGCACTGCGGTTTGCAAGACTGTTGTTACTGAAAAGGTATCATGCATATCACTTTACCTCCTCTCAGCACCCAGTTCTTGTCTGGAGTGATCACTTCCCACTGTCATTGTTACAGTGGCCCCTTCTGACATAACTGCCTTCTCTCATTTGTGGCAAGCTTTCAACGAAGGATCAGTCCCCTTATTGTCATTGGGTATTTTTCTCCTATGTTTTATATCCCACAAATGAATGTGATCATTCTGACTCATTTCACTCAGCATGATATTCTCTCCATGTTCATCCATGTATTAGAAAATTGCATCACTTTTTTTAATGGCTGCGTAATACTTCGTCATGTAGTAGATATACAACTGCTTCTTTATCTACTTGTCTGTTCTTGAGAACTTTAGTTGTTTCCAGACTTTGGCTATTGTGAATAGTGCTACAATAAACATAAGAATGTAGATGCCTTTTCTATTGTGTTCTGGGACCACTGGGATATATATATATATATATATATATATATATATATATATATTGCCAGGAGAGTAACTCCTGGGTTGTATGGAAGCTCAATTCCTAGTTTTTTGAGGAATGTCTATATTGTTTTCCCAAAAGGCTAGACCAACTGACATTTCCACAAGCACTCCCCCAACCCCACCCACATCCACACCAATATGGTTGTTTTGCTCTCTGTGGTGACTGCCAGCCTCTTTTTGGTGTGAGACAATATCTCATTATTTTGATTTCCATTTCCCTGATTAGTGAAATAGAACCATTTTTAATGTGGATTTTGGTCATTTGGATTTGCTCTTTATCTGATTCATGGTATGCAAAGACTTTCTCCCATTCATTGGGGTATCTTTTACTTTTCTTTTGCCATGCAAAACCTTTTGTTTGTTTGTAATACCTAAAAAATAAAACGAAACTATAAATTCTTTTTAGTTTGATATAGTCTGCTTTTTCACTGCTGTTGTTTTTGGTTTGTTTTGCCAATGGAGTTGAATCATTGAATATACCACTGAAGTCTATATCCTAAAGAGTTCTACCTGTTTTCTTCAATGTATTTTATAAATCCTGGCCTAATTTTGAGTCTTTAATCCACTTTGCATTTTCTATCCGTGTGGTGTGTTAAATTATCTAGTTTCATAGTTTGAGATTTGTTTCTTTTTTGCATGTATATTTCCAACTTTTTTTTATTTGTTTTTGAACCACAACTAGCAATGCTCAGGGATTACTCCTGGCTCTGCACTCAGAATTTACTTCTAGCAGTGCTCAAGGGAACTTATGGGATGCCAGGGATCGAACAAAGGTTGACCACATGCAAGGCAAGCACCTTACCAGCTGTATAATTGCTCTACTTCAACAGAATTTCTTTAAGAGGCTTTCCTTGCTCTACCCTATGTACCCATCTTTGTCATACATTAGTTGTCCATATAATGGAGGGTTTTCCCTCTGGGCTGTCAATTCTATTTCATTTATCTTAGTCTACCCTTACCCCAGGTTCCAAACATTTTGATGACTATAACTTCAGAGAATGATTTAAAATAGGAAATGTGATGCCTCTCAGCTTTTTTTCTCAGAATTGCTCTGGCAATTTAGGGAGTTTTTGGATTCCATAAAACTTTCAGCAGACTTTGATGGGCATTGCTCTGAATTTGTACAATACTTTGAGTAGGATAGTCATTTTGACAATGTTAATTCTTCCCATTCCATGAACATGAAATATTTTTCCATTTCCTGGTGTCCTCTTCCATTAATTTCAAATGTGGCTTATAGCTTTTAATGTGTGACTTAAACATCCTTTGTTGTTTTTTTAACTCTAAATTTTTTGGGGGGGTGCTATACCTTGCTATGCTCAAGTCTTACTCCTGGCTCTGTACTCAGGGATCACTCCTGGTGGGAATCAGGGGACCATATGAGGTGCCTGGAATCGTACCCAGGTCAGCTGCATGCAAGACAAGCATCCAACCTATCTGATCCTAGTATCTCTCCAGTCCCTTAAATTCCCTTTGTTAAATTGATTTGCAGTAATTGATCTGATTACTTTGGACACTTTCAATGGAGTTATCTTTTGGGGAAAAAATTATGAATTTTGAACCATGTGAAGGTCTATGATCTCCTTTTGAAGTGGAGCTATTAAAGTACTGAGTTTCAGAATCAATTCATATGAAAGCTGAAAGCTGTCCTTCTCCCCTATCCAAATATTCAGGTTAAAATCTTAAATTCAGTAAAGAACACATACAAACAGAAAAGATAGATTCTACTATTAATTGCTACTAAAGAACCTTAGACACCATTCCTGGGTTTAGCTGTCTTTTTAAAAAATGGTAAAGTAGCTCCAAAGTCAACAAATAAAAATGCTAACATTAATTAGTTTGAAGAAGACAGGGAGGAACCAAAGAGACAGGCAGATCGTGATCCCTGGTGCCACATATTGTCCCCCAAGTACTACACAAAATGACCCAGAGCAGTCAGAAGATCCTCAACACTGTTTGCTGGGTATGGTTCAAACACAAATACACACATACAAATGTGACAAGTCAGGTGGTGAATCTGTACATATGTATTTAAATAGAGTATTCTTCTTATTGTTGATGGAAAATTACTTTGGTTCACTCAATCCTGAACATTTTTCTAGGTCTAGAAGATGGTTCAAACACCTGGAGCGCATGGTTGCATTTGGAAACCCCAGGTCCAAACCCAGACATTGCAAGGTATCCCCCAAGTACCACCAAGAATAGTCCCAGAACACCACTGGTTTAGCCAGAATAAAAAAATTTTTTTTAATTTTACCAGAGAAACTTGTTTAGCCATGGGGTATTACAACAAAAACTTACCCACATTTTAATGGCAAGGTGATAAAATTACACACTTTTGGAGTTGTCTCCTAAATTCATGCAATCTTAAAAATGTCTATCAGACAAAATATTCAGTGTTTCCCAATTACTTGATAGAAAAGTTGCTTCATTGGCAGTTGTACCATTTTTGTAACCAGTATAACAATCACAGAATTGTGTTTCATTGTGCTGGTACCTAATTTGAAATAGAAAAATACAGGAAAAATATGAACTTTGACATCTTTTAGGTAGATGCCAAAAGTTCTGAATACAATGAATAATGTGTTGATGATTTTACTAATAAGTCTGAGATTCTTTGGAAAACAAACACACCTCAAGGGGCAAAAATGTTTCACTTTCTCACCAACATAGAGGGAAGAGTAAAGAAACTGATCTACATATGCAATGGAATACTACTCAACTATAAGATGAATCCTACTACAAGGATGACACCAGGAGGTTTCCAGCCACGTGCAGTCAGTTGGAGGGAGAGAACAGATACAGAATGATCTCTCTCTTGTGTTTGAATATAAATACAATAAGGGAACAACAAAGAGCCAATGGTAGCAGACCCTGAGACTGAGAGTACAGAACTGAGTCCGGTGGGGTGAGTGAACTCAATCAAAGTCATTCTGGTGACAGGTGTAGAACAATATTGTAAATCATGGCACCAAAATGAAAACTGAAGAAAAAGGGTTAACGTCTTCAATTATGTTATGTGAAAACGTAAGGGTCTGAAGAAAACTAAGTAAGAAATAAGGTATGCCCTGCTCAGTGAAGGAACCTGTCATTATGTTTAATTAAATTTTTGTGTTAACACTTCTTGGGTTTTCAGCTCAACACTAAGCACCATATAAAACTAAAGCTAAAATTTTTCATCCCGTATATTGCATTTTTAAAACATTCTTAAAGAGGGGCTGGAGTGATAGCACAGCGGGTAGGGCATTTCCCTTGCACACCGCAGACCTGGGTTCCATTCCCAGCATCCCATATGGTCCCCTGAACACCACCAGGAGTAATTCCTGAGTGCAGAACCAGGAGTGACCCCTGTGCATCACCGGGTGTGACCCAAAAAGAAAAAACAAAAAGAAAAAAAATTCTTAAAGAACATTTACGCAAAGAGTAGTATGTTAGGATAGGTAAAAGGCAGTATTTTTAAACTGTCATTAATATATAATTCTAAACTTATTTAAAATAACAGTAAGAAATTACTGATAAACACATAATCAATATGTTTTAAATAACATAAAACCTTAAACTCTAAACACTAGTTCTAATTCGAAAGTAAATACAAGATGAGACCTAATAAGACCTAATAAGACAAGCAGGTATAAATCATATAGAACACGGTATAAGTTGGTTTGTGAATTTGCGCTTAAGTGCACCGACAAACTCTTGCTGTAGAGAGCCATGCATATGAGTCCACTGGTGGACGGATATAATTTCAAAATAATTTCATTACAGAAAACTGTTTCTCACCCACATTTACTGCAACTACGAGACGATCCTGCATTAAAGCAGGAACTGTTTTTGGGTCACCTAGCGATGCTCAAGGGTTAGCCCTGGCTTTGCACTCACGCTCATTACTTTCGGCAGTGCTCGGGGATGCCAGGGATTGAACCCCGGTCGGTCACGTGCAGGACAAAAACACCCTTACCCGAGCGCTGTACCTACTGCTCCGGGCCCCGAAATGTTTCATCATTCAAATTTTATGGGGTTTTTTTTTATAGTGATAGTGATTTATTATTTATTAAAGCCTGGCAAGCTCCCCGTGATGTATTCGATATGCCAAACACAGTAACAAGTCCTCACAATGGTAACGTTACTGGGTCCGCTCGAGCAAATTCATCGTTCAAATTTTAAAATCTCAAGCCAGCCCCGTCATTCCCCGCACCTTCCCCACACCCCTCCCCCCTCCCCGGATGCCTGCCAAGAAACGCCAGGGCTCTGTGCAAAGGCCAGCCACAACCCCACCGAGACCCTCCCGGCCCGGACGCCCAGTCTCCAGCTCCGAGAGCGGGTGCGGGCGCGCTCCTCTCCAGGGCCAATCCCGCCGCTCGGCGCGCCTTTCGTCGCGGAAACTCCGCGCGGGGCCGTGCGCTGCAGCCAACGGGAGCCGCCGGCGCCCCGGGAACTTCCAGCGGCGGCTCCCGTCCGTTCCCCTGGCCCGGGAAGCCCGTCCACCAACCCGCCAACTTCTCCCGCCTGGGCCGCCGAGGGTCTTCACCCCCGCCCCCAACACACACACACGCCCCCCCACCCCCGCCGCAGACCCCACAACTCCCGGAGCCCCACCTGGCCACGGGATCGCGGGAAGGAGAAGCGCGAGGGAAGTGTGTGTGGGGGGGGTGCGTGGAGCCCACCCCAGAGCCCCGGACGCACCCCGGGGCCCCCGAGAGCAACTCCTGGAGAGGCGCTGGGGGTCTGGGGGCGGGGGGCGGGGGAGGAAGGCGCGAAGTCGCGGGCCGGACCGCAGAGGCCACTGCATCCCGGCCGGGCGAGTAACCGGGGCGGCGTGAACTTTCTGGAAAGCGCGCGGTGGGGTGCGGGAGACGGCGCAGGGTGCGGCGGCGGATAGTGGGGGAGGGTGGCGGCGGCCGCCTCAGAGCTTGGCCGCGCGCGGCATAGAGGTCGAGGAAGGGTCGGGGGGAAAATAGGCGACGAGGCGGCGGCCGGCGGCCAGGCGGGGGGCCCGGCCTAGGCGGGCGAAGTCGGGGCTGGCAGACCGCGAGATAAACAAAGGACGGAGCCCCGGAGCCGTCAGCCCCGCGCGCAGGCGCCGCCGCCGCCGCCGCCGCTGTAAGCCCCGGGCGGCCCGGAGGGGTGGAGGGGGGCGGCGGCCGGGCCTCCCGCCACTCACCAAGATGCGTTTGAAAAGGTTGCTCTCCTTGGGCGGCAGCTGCACGTTCGGCATCGCGGCCGGCCGGCGGGGAGGCTGGGCAGCGCCGGCGCCTGGGCGCCCGCGAGCCGCTGCTGCTGAGAGGCCGCGCGGGGCGGACGGGGTCAGACCATCGGCCTGGTTGGAAGAGGGGTGGGGGTGGGGGAGACGCTCGGTCAGGGCGGCTCTGGGAGCCCAGGACCCGAGCCCTGCCTCAGACAACCCCTCGGCTCCGACCTGCCTCCCGGGGAGAGCGGCGGCTTCCGCGCGCTGCAAGATGGCAGCCAAGGCCCGTCCCCCCCCAACGCGCCCCCCCCCCCCCGCCGCCCGAAGTAGCCGGGCGCATGCGCGAGGCGCCGGCCGCCGTGCACGGGAGGGGTTGGGGGGAGTCGGGGCGCTGCGGGGCGCCGCTGGGGACCGTGTGCGGGGCTGCCCGTCGCCGTCGCGCTGCGGCGCCCGGAAACTTCGCGCCCGGCGAGGCTCCGGTGCAGTCGTCGCTCCAGAGGCTCGGGCTCGGACGGTGCTGGGAAGTTAGGTGGCGGCCCAAACCAACGCAGGGGTCACCCCAGGCTTTTGTGTGTGTGTTTCTCTATTCAGGAACTTGAGCCGCCGCGCTCGGTGCAGAGTCTCTCAAGGGCAGGCGAGCAGATTTTTCCTTTTTTTTTTTTCCTCCCCCTCCAGTTTGGACTTTTAAGAGAAGCCCCGTCTCATCAGTGCAGACCAACCCCACGTGGCCCCAAGGTGAGGTCCACTGGGCAGAACAATAGACACGAGGTGGAAACACGTTTGAAACGTTCCCTCCCCCCAGTGAACGTTCCCCAACGTGGTCGAGATTTAGGCTCGCTGTTTGGGGCCACTATTCTCATCCAAATCCATCTGCTTTCTCAAACGCTGATGGTTCCCCTTCCAACAAGTCATCTAACAATGAGAGGGACAAGGCTAAATGCAAGCACCTTCCGACTCAGGCACTCCACAGAAGGTAGCAGAGCAATGGAAATGCCTGAGTCAAGAAATGAATAATATATCATGGACGAGAATAGCCTAAAGAATGTATACAGTGTAGGTGTATTAAGACGTACAGGAAAGGCCTTCACATTAACATAATTATAATTATGTAAATAATCAACTACTTAAAATTTAGAAGTTTTACATTTGTGTCACGTTCTTATGAATATGCAATTATATGCCGGAATATAGCAATATAAATATGTAATGTAAAAAAATTTTTTTAATCAGTGCCTGGAGCGATAGCACAGCGGGTAGGGCGTTTGCCTTGCAAGTGGCCGCCCCAAGTTTGTTTCCCAGCATCCATATGGTCCCTTGAGCACCACCAGGAGTAATTCCTGAGTGCAGAGCCAGGAATAACCCCTGTGTGTTGCCAGGTGTGACCCAAAAAGCAAAAAAAAAAAAAAAAGAGAGAGAGAGAGAGAGAGAAAGAAATTTAAATCAGTGTCATTAAAGTCTAGCTGGAGTTTAAGATGAAAGAAAATGTGAGTGGAGGATTCAAAATACAACAGAGACTGGGGTGAGAGCAATAGTACAGAGGGTAGGGCTTTTGCCTTGGACACAGCCAACCTGGTTTTGATCCGCCAGCATCCCATGCAGTCCCCGAATCATGACCAGGAGTAATTCCAGAGTGCAGAGCCAGAAGTAACCCTTGGTATGTATTGTCCCAAAGCATCAAAAATACGAAAGAAATTTATTCAGTGGAGATGATCCTGAAGGACTTAATGTTTCTGAGCAGAATCTAGGCTCCCCCAAAGTGGAGGAATGAGACAAGGAGAGTAGCTTAGGATACTTGACTGATATAAACTGATGGAATTTTCCCAATGGAATAATGCAGAGGAGTATCTGCTCACAACACTTTTAGTTCTTACCCAGAGTTTGCTTACCCTGGCATTACTGAATCCTGAAAATTCTTTAGTTCCCTATTTCACTACATTCTCAGGAATGAAGTGTTTTGTAGTTTTCATGGAAAAGCTGGCCTCCTAGGGTTCCAGATAGGCCATTCTTTGACTTGGTTAGAATATGAACTTTTCAGAAAGCCAGTTTGCCTCACTTTGCTTCACAAAGTCAATTTCAAAATGGCATTGAATAAGAAAGGGGAGAGTGGAGGAAAACATGAGGCCAACTTCACTTAGAAACAAACCTCTCTATTTTGGCGTGCTTTTTTTCTTGTTTTTTCTCTCTCTTTTTCTGTTTTTTTGTTTGTTTGTTTGTTTTTAGGGTGGAAGTGAGCAAACCCAATCCGTTAAAGAGTCATTCCTTGTTCTTTGCCCAGGAATTGCTTTACCAATGTTTGGTGGCTCATATGCAGTTGGGGATCAAAGCCTCGTTCGTCATATGCAAGGCAAGTTCCTTAACCTCTGTACATTCTCTCTGGACCAGATCATTGCAATTTTTTATGAAAGTTTCCCAGTTTCCTATTCATTTATTGAAAAGTATTCATTGCTGGGAGTTGGAGCAATAGTACGGTGGGTAGAGCGCTTGCTTGGCACATGGCAGACCCAGATTCTATCCCCAGCATCCCATATGGTCCCTTTAGCACCATCAGGACTAATTCCTCAGTGTAGCGACAGGAGTAAGCCCTGAGTATTACCTGGTGTGGCCCAAATACAAATGCGTGTGTGTGTGTGTGTGTGTGTGTGTGTGTGTGTGTATTCATTGTTCCCACTCTCTCTGATAGTTGTACAAGCTTGACCACAGCTCTACCTCACCCCTAAATTAGACAGCCTGTGCTGGTTATTCATTCACATTTTTCAGCTTCCCTCCACCTCACCCCCTTCTCACACCTTCCCCAGCATCTACCTGTAGCACAGAGGAAATCTGCAAACACTGCAGAAGAGGTAGTTATAAATACTCATATTTTCCCCATCATTCTTTCCCACACCATGATCCACACAATGCACATATACCTTGGTTGGCTACCCACAGCTGGAGGTGAAGGAAGAGTTGGAAAATTGAGAAGAATGGCAATTGTGTTGTTAATTGTAGAACTCAGCTTTAGAATTAAAAATGCAATGCATGCAAAATCAGAAAGTCTGGATTAGCTAGTAGCTGCAGTTTTATTTCTGACTTCCTATTTAGTCTGGAGCAAATCTCACTTCCACCTTTCAGCAGAAAATGGGGTTATAATAATATTATTATGATCTGATTCACAACAGCATTTTGTGACTGGAATGCCTAGTCATTTCAAAGCACATAGGCCAAAAAATCTGCTTTGTAGATTGAACTCACCATCTTTCAGTAAGAATGCTGAAATCCCTTTGGGGACATGGTGGACTTCATCCATATGTTCCTTCTTGGTGCTTCAGGCAGTGTGTACCTCCTTGAAATCACGCACACAATAAAATAACAGAACAGCATCTGTAAAGACCTAATTCCTGGAACACCGTACATGACATGGGCCAGTAATTCTCCTGCTAACCCTGGTAGAGTGAAGGAGAAAAGAATCTGAAAAATTATTTCCTCTACACGTTATACACAGCATATCTTGCAGAGCCAGCTGGCAGGGTAAAATCAAGTAGTTTGCTGCTATTCCCACAACCAATTTAACCATGTAATTAAAGTCTGATGGGAAATGAACGCATAGATTGCATAATGCATTACACCTCAGATTCCCTAATGTTTCTGCTTTTTTCATCATTTCTTGCTCTTTTTTTTTTGAAACAAACAGCACTCCACACCTCCCTTAGTTCCTGATCCTATCTACTTCTGCTTCACCCGAACTTTCATTCGTTATTGAATTCCATTCTTTTCATTTTCCCCCTGCCTTACATTCTAATGAAAGATGACAGACAATAAACTCATAAGTTAACAGATAATTCCAGACACTGGGAAGTCTGATAAAGGAAATTAAACAAGGTCATGTGGAGGACAACAGGGGCTGAGGATTATTTTTCTCCTTGTTATTATTGAGCTGACTAGGGAGGCACATACCTGCCTGGCTGTAGAGCTAGGCATGTGGAGCTGCATGTCAGACGGCAGTACTCACACACATGGTTAATGCATACCCGGGTTATATTCTCTTAGTTGTGGTGTCTGAGTGCATTCTGATAGTGCTCACTTGGACCTGCAGTGCTCACACACATGCTATATGTGAGCCATGCTGCATGCACATCTCAATGCTCTCAGAGTTGTGGCACTGAACCACTTTTAATTGTGGTGCTTATCAACCTAGCTATGGTACAACTGAAAATTGCTCTCAACACCAGGGATCACAGATAGAAGACCTGCTAGGACAGTGTTTGGTGAGTTTAGCAGCACTGGGACTGAACATGCTGCCTTACATGTCCAACACAGGTGCTCAAAGCCCTATCTTAAACTGTGGGTTGCAGAACTATGTGCAGGTCATGAAAAATTTGGCAACAAGGACAGAGAGATAGTACAGGGGGTAGGGTGCTTGCCTTACATGTAGCTGACCTGGATTGACTCCCCAGCACCCCTCAGGTCCACCAGGAGTAATCCTTGAGTCAAGCCTAAATTCTGAACAAAGCAGGTGTGGCTCAAAAACAAAACCAAAAATAAGTTTCAGAAATGACTTAAAACTGCCTCTGGGACTTTAGTGACTTGTTAACAGAGATCTAAAAGATAAGAAGGGAGTTAACAAAGTGAAAACCTAAGACAGTACATTCTAGCATAAGATTGGCATGGTCACGGAACAGTTGAGATCTTCAAGGAGGTATTGGAAGAGTGGTTGTTGGAAATAAATGTAGAGTACTTTCATCATTACAAGTAGTTGGGTTGGGTTGTTTTTTTTCACCAAACCACAATAGGAAGTCTTGAAGCAACTTAAACAAGAAAGTGATCTAATCTTATTTTTGTTGGAGGAAGGTGCCATGTATCAAACCCAGGGTCTCTTACATGCAAAACATGTGCTCTACTGCTGAGTTATATTACTAGTACCCCACGCCTTAATTTATTTTGAGCGAACTTTGTGTTTATCACTTTATAAGAAGTGAAAAAATTAGAACATTATAACAATCATATCAAAAAATTTTCATGTATTTTATAACATTTCTTTACGATTTTAGTTTTCTATGAAATTTTATATATTTCAGGTTTCTTAATTCTATGAGAGTTATTGACACTATTTATTAGTTTCATAATATCTGCCAGGGATTATTCTAAGTTCCTTATGCATATTAGCAATTTAAATCTTGACCATA